GAAGATATGACCCGGAATAATGGAATATTCTTAGAACCTTCCCTTATTGCTAAGAATGTTCTTAGGGATTTTAAAAAAATTCAATAGATACACTTAAGTGTAATGATGCAATTAGATTCTTAAAAGCTTCTTAAAACCTTCCTAAAAAGCAACCCTAAGAACATTTTAAGAATACGTTTTTGGAATGTTTTTAGAAGGTTTCTTATGGAGCTTTTAAGAAGCTTTTGAGAATATTTCCAAATATGTCAGATACCCACGTTCTAATATGTTGTATTCTACATTCGTAAAATTCTTCAGGAGACGACAAATACGCCTCACTGTCATAATATGACAGTGAAATGTATTTGCCGTCCCCTTAAAAAATTTTGCGACATATTAATATATATTTATTTAAAAATATTAAATAAACAACTTGACCTCTAAACCATAAGTTGTATGACATTATTTCATAAAAAGTAAAATTGGAAGAAGATTGAAGATAAGTCAGATTAGATTGAAGTTGAAGATAGTTAGGATTATTATACATAAAAATGTTAATTCAGAAATAAAAAATCGGTATACAAATTAATAAATATTTATTTTTAACATAAAATAAAATACCTATAGTAAAAGAATTTTTGTTATCGAATATCGTTTTAATTTGACAAAAATCTATAAAAAAAATATTTTGGATTGTTTTTTACTTAGTATTTAATACTAATTACTAATTAGGTACTTAAGTATAGGTATATACCTTTATTATTACGTATAATACGTAGTTTATGGTATATTTTACTATTATATAGGTAACTGAACCAAATACGCTTAACAGAAATATTCCTAAATGAACTTTCTATAGGAATTTTACCACTAAAACTTTGCACCTTCTAAGAACCTGCCAATAGGCCAGTAAGAATATTCTTAGGATCATGCTATATGTCTTCTAAATATGTTCTTTAGAAGAAATATAGCAAGATTCTAAGAATATTCTCACTGGAAGGTTTAAAAAAACATTCTTAGAATAAAGTGTGCTATCAGGGTTGCAGTCATTTTTTGTTGGTTAGTTTGTGAATATGATTGCTTTAGAATATTTATCTCGAAATAAAAACCCAAAATAATTTCAGAAGCCAGTAAAATTAAGCAATGAAGAGGACAGTGAAATGAGAAACCAAATAGCTTTGGATTGCATCGACAAAATTGGCATTGAAAAGGAAATAGTTCTAAAGGCTATAGCTACCAGAACTTTCCCGGAGGATAGAAAATATAAGGACTATCTAGCTTGCAGCTACAAAAAGATGGGATTTCAACAAGAAGATGGCACAATATCGATCGAAAATCTCAAGACTTATATGGAGAGATTTTATAAACGCGAAGATTTAAGTGTAATAGAACCTTGTGCACTTATTACTGGACCTACGCATGGTGATATCGCAAGAAATGCAGCAATTTGCATTATAGAAAATATAGAACCCTTAGAAGAAATTAAAGATTTATAATAAATTTTATTTTTTCACCTCAAATTGTTTTTGTATAAATATTTTAAATTACAAAGAAATAAATTATCTGTGTCAATTGTCAATTGTCCAAAATTTAAAAAAATATGGCTGGTTCATTTTATTATTGGTTAGGTACTGTAAATACATTATTTATATTAAATTAATAATAATAAAGAAAATCTTAATACAGCCTCTGTTTATTTATTATATTGAAATAAATAAAACAATTATAATTCCAATTCAAACAGTGTGCAAAATAAAAAATCTAAACTCAAGTTTATAGTATAGTAGTTATACGTACATATTTTATAATAAGTATAAGAATTTTAGTATATTTTAAAAAAATTTAAACACGTTGTGGAAATTTAACAATTGTTTTATATGTTAATATTAAATATAATATATATGTTATAAAATATAAACTTAAGTTAATTTTATAATAGTTTGAAATGCTTCTAGAGGATCATCATTCAGTTATGGCAGTAGTTCCAGCAAACCTTTATAAATTAATAGTAATTACTATTACTATAGTAACGTTGTAACATGTATCCAATTTTTAGGTACGTTAAAATCCTTCTCACAGTGTTCATCTTTAAAAGAAATGCGAAAAATATCAAAATCACTGTAAAAAACATCAAAACAAGAACCTTAATTAAGTGATCAAACAAAAGCCAATAAAGTAAATTTTGAAAATGAACTGTTAGATATATTTTAAATATTTTTCAAAAATGTTTTCGGTAACCTTTTGTATACTAGACGTCAGAGAAAACATAAACAATTTTTGTTTGATATGTAAGAGATATTAATAAAAAAATATATAATTGATTACGTTTTGAATAGCTAATGGATTTTGTTTTATTTGATGTCTCTTGAATTGTGCTATGAAAAATCGATACTTTTTATATAATTGGACATTGTTTGATAATATATTTTTCAAAAACCTAAACGATTTTAATAAAATTTTATGCTAATGTATGTTTACATACAGTGTGACCCATTTGTTTGCGATTTTAACCGGATTTGTTTTAAAGTGTACATCTTGATAAACTGTATTTTTGGAGCAAAAAATGTTTCAAGTTTTAAGAGTACATTTTTAAGAATTCATATTAGCGATTTTATAAGCAAAATCTAAGCACGGCACTGGATTCACCACTCCTCAAAACGACCCTATACTAAATTTTATTAAAAAATTTTAAGTAGAAAAATACACAATAATAACTACAAAAATTTATTATTGGGCATTTTTCTACTTAAAGCATACAAATACAACAAAATTATATTTTAATATTTGAGAAAATTTATTTTTTTAAACGGATTGAAAATCAATCAAGTTACTTCAGCTATTTTACCTTAACTTTCAATTTCTTTTTATTAATGTAAGTGAAGGAAATTTACTATTCTTACTTTTGTCCTTAATTAAAAATAACTGTAAATGTATAATTTTTTGTCTAACCTGAACCTGTTTAAACTAAAAAAAAATATTTTAATGCGCAATTTTTCATTTTCGTTTCCTATTAATAAAAAAGTAGAAATTATTGTGGATTATCAGTTATAATTTATCAACATTATTATTTACCTTTTAATATTCCTTCAAGATTATGAAAAAAGTATAGTATGTATCAAGTTTGATGAACGCCATTTTAGTCACTTATTTAATTGAGTGCTTAATAAAATACTTATTCCCTATTATCTAAAAAATTAAATGTTTGTATAGAGCGACATCTATACATAAATAGAGTAACTCGCGTAACCATTTCTAACAAGGGAATCTGTATTACCGGCGCGCCAGTCAAAATGGCAAATTTTTATGTGTATACATTTATAAATCGAAATATATCCCTTGAAAATGGACTAACAACCGTTTAAACGATGATGTAGAAGCAGTTTTTTTAAGTGAAAGTGAAGAGAATGTTTTCTGGGCACTATTTTTAATGCCTTCAGTTAAAACTAGTTTACTGCCGGCAAAGTGAAAATAACAGTACAAACTTGCATATAAATTTTTCAAATATGTATTGGCGTTGAGAAACTATTTTATACTCTTTATTTTTGTATTAAGATAATACAAAAATGTCCACATTTGTCAACCAACTTCAGCCCCTGACTAAAAACCTGTTGCTAACTTCAGCCCGTGACTAAAACGCGATAAAGCCACAACTTGTCAATGTGTAGGAAAAGTAGGAGTAGGAGTAGGAAAAATATTATTTGTTCAAAGAAAAAAACACAATTTCAAATTTGTATCTATATTTGGAAGCTCAAAACAAAAACAAACACAACATATACATATAATACAAAAAAATATACAAAAAGGTGAAAATAATGGTTTCAGAACATGATTGAGAAAACTGTTATAAATAAATTTGTATTAGAGTCGCTGAATAAAAAGGGACTCTGGATAACATTTATTTAAGACATACAAAAGACTATTTTGACTGTGATTTTGGATATAAAATTTATTTAAAATGCCACTAAAAGCTATTACATATTTATATAATATAAATAATATCCTATGCAGTCTTAAAAACATATCTACATACAAAGTAAACAGAAGTAACTTGGATGGCATAAAATGTTGGTGCATTAATTTTTAATGTAATACTGGGCAATAGAATTAATGAAAGCCTGAGGAATTAGAAAATGCACCAAACTCTTTCATAATTCACATATTTGACTATAAGTGGCAGCCAAAAGTTAAAATAAATATAAATTTCGCTTAATTTTTAACAATGCCAATAAATCAGGCATACCAAATAATTATCACGTATTTTCAAACAACACCTCGAAATTGTGCTAGGATGATATAATTTAACAGGTGAGAGGACAATCTATAGTTTAAAAACAACTATGTGGAATAATTATTCTTAAATTTAAGATAAATTGTACTGATAATGATATAGTAAAGCTTAGACTGGGCCAAAAAAAATTGACTATTTTTTTTTTGAAAAATATATCGAGAATGTCATTCAGAATGACAAAAAAAATATTTCGTGAACATTTGAGCCCTTAATATTAATATTAAGAGGTCCATAATCGCTATTTTTGATTTTTAGTCATAATTTGATGTTTTACGTTAGAACTGTCAAAACATTAACGTGAAAAAAATTCCTTTTCACTTATTTTTATATAAAATTAAATTCTCTACAAAAAAGGTCTGATTGATAATTTTCGTCAGACGAGTTTTTTCCGAGTAATTGAGCTTAATAAATCGATGTGTTTTTTGATTCGCCCTTTTTACTTTGAAATTTTGAAACTAATGAATCAATGAAAATTTAAAAAATCTCACGTCGGATTCTTAAAGGAAATTTAATGTTCTACAAAAAAGGTCTCTTAACATTTTTGACTAAATTTAATTCTTCAAAAGTTATTCACGATTAAAATCGAAGAAAAACTTAATATTTCAATTTTTTCTTCGTGAATAACTTTTGAAGAATTAAATTTAGGCAAAAATGTTAAGAGACCTTTTTTGTAGAACATTAAATTTCCTTTAAGAATCCGACGTGAGCTTTTTTAAATATTCATTGATTCATTAGTTACAAAATTTCAAAGTAAAAAGGGCAAATCGAAAAAACACATCGATTTATTAAGCTCAATTACTCGGAAACGGCTCGTCTGACGAAAATTTTCATCAGACCTTTTTTGTAGAGAATTTAATTTTATATAAAAATAAGTGAAAAGAAATTTTTTTCACTGTAATGTTTTGACAGTTCTAACTTAAAACATCATATTATGACTAAAAATTAAAAATAGCGATGATAGACCTCTTAAAATTATTATTAAGGGCTCAAATTTTCACGAATTTTTTTTTTGTCATTCTGAATGACATTCTAGATATATTTTTCAAAAAAAAAAATAAGCAATTTTTTGGCATAGTCTAGTAAAGCTGCTATCGAGAAGCGATCCGATTTAAACTAACTGTCGACTTGGTTTGTTGCACTCAGACTGGCAGACGCGGCCGGCGCCTGTATATTGTTCGACGAGTACATGGGTACGAAGGTACAAGAGACCGCGGTGGGCGACATTGGAGGGTTGGAGTAGGAGGAGGAGGAGAGACTGGTAGGCTTTGGTATATCTTGCTTTTCGTATTCGGCTGCTTGGTGCTGCTCGGCCTCGGGAAGGCTGTCGTTGGATTTAAAAATCTGCTTGTTTATCTGCGGATAGCGCACGCGAATGGCATCGACTACGTCCAGAAGGTTCTTGGAGTCCATGGCCAGCACGTGGGCAGCACCCAACATGCCCCTAGAAAAATGTTACCTGAAGTATTTCCCACACGGTGGTCAAAACTGCCAACCAAAACTGATAGCATATTTTGATTATAGACCCTTTTGGTAACACTAACATGTACAGCTGATCCTATTTTAAAGATTTGCAAACTTTTTTGGTTTTCTATTTCTATATATTATTTTGCGATTATTGCACTAAAACTACCTGTACAATTTTAATAAAATTAAGCAAAATAATAAACTTTCTATCATTTAAATTACTTTACTCCCCAGTATTAATTTATTGAGTCACCTATTATTTTTTACCACTCAAAACAAAACATAACAAAAAAACGAAGATTTATATCTTAAATATTTTTTATAACAAAAAATAAACAATAATTAAGGTGACATTTTGCTTTAGTTGTTTATTTAATGTATACTTTATAAAGTTAAAAATAGTATTTTAAAATGAAAATTAAACCGAAATTCAAGTTAAGCCATGAAGAAAATCGAAAGAACGTATGTGCTGGCTGTGGAGACAAAATTGTTTTTGGTAATCGAAAAATTCAGAGTTTAGGGTTTCTGAGAAAATATAAAAATTACTGCAGACTTTTTCAAACGAACACTTTAACTTAAGTGATTCAAAATTACCTACTTCAATATGGTAAAAACGGTATTTTTGCATAGCCACAATTGCCAAATTTTCAAAATTTAGAAATTGCTAGAGAATTTCGCGGCAGCCAAGAATGTATGTGCTTTATCTGCAAAATGGCAAGATATAAAGGGCATAAAAAATTATTAAGGGAAGAGGACGAACTAACGAATGAACTAAAGTTTTGATATGCTCTTCCTTTCTAGGGGATATCGCTTGATGTAAGAAGCATGTTTGTACAGGGACTGAAGAATTTAAAAATACTGTTTCCATGTTAAAAACAATTCCATGTAAAATCCAAGAAAAAGTTTTACTGAAAATTTAAGGCAATCAGTAATCGATTTTGCTTCAAAGAATCTTTAGTTATTTATTAGTTTTGTATTACTTAGGTACCTTAAAACAATAAATAAGATATTGCAAACTGTATTTTACATTATTTTTTATTTATAATGTAATTTATCCATATTTCAGTCATGTATCTGCCAAATTTTTAAAAACATTTGATAATGGTACTAGAGTATTTTATTGAAGTGGCATAAACAATTTTAAAATACTAAGAAATATGCAAAACTTTAATAAAGGATCAGCTGGGATTTTGATAAATACATTTTTGTGTTACCAAAAGAGTATATAATCAGATTATGCTATCAGTTTTGGTTGGCATTTTTGTTTGTCCTATACTTTAGTTTTGAGGTGCACCATGAGGAATGTTTTAATAAAAATATTAATTATGATTAAAGGCTGTCTTGATATTATCTGATAAGGTCTTGCAATGGCCCTTTTCAGGCTAATATTTGTATATTTTACCATAAAATATCCATATGAGGCAATTTTCAGTATCAAGTTTATGGGACTTTAAAAAACCATTGAAGTTCCAAATGTTTTCTGTTATCTAATTTATAAATTATACTATAAATTCTTCTATAGAAGAAAGGTTTAATTGATAAAGCAGGGCTAAATTTTATTTAGGAATTTAGGAGGTTTTTGTAAAATTTTAGGAGAAACAAAGTATGCAAATGAATTTCTGTAATTAAAGAAAAACAACTCTACACTGTATTTAATAAGAAACAAATAAATAATTTTTTTAACAAAAATATAAATAAATAAAACTTCTTTTGTACAAATAATAAGTAGGTAACGTTTCAAAAATTTCACCACTTTTAATTTTATAAAAAAAATGCGTCGATAGATATGGCTTAAAAACTAGGCCAAAATCAAATGATTTGTAAGAAAAATGTTGGTTGTGATATTTTATCATTTTAAAAAAAAATTTAATAAACTAGAACCTAAAAATATATATCTTAAAATTGCTTTTTTAAAAAGAAATTTTTTAGCATGACAACTACCTTAATTAAACTCTGCCTGATGGCAATTTTAGGAGTTTTCAAGATTTAAGCAAATTTTAGGAATTTAGGAATTTTATGAGTTCGATAGATATGGCTTAAAAACTAGGCCAAAATCAAATGATTTGTAAGAAAAATGTTGGTTGTGATATTTTATCATTTTAAAAAAAATTTAATAAACTAGAACCTAAAAATATATACCTATTTTAAAATTACTTTTTTAAAAAGAAATTTTTTAGCGTAACAACTACCTTAATTAAACTCTGCCTGATGGCAATTTTAGGAGTTTTCAAGAGTTAAGCAAATTTTAGGAATTTTATGAGTTTTAAGAGCTGTGGGAGCCCTGATAAAGTCAAAATTGGGGCAATCTACCAAAAAAATGAAGTGAATTTATTTGTAAATATATATTTTAATTTTAAATATTTTCTATTTAGTTTATGGTGAACTCGACATAATACACTCACAGACAAAATAATCGATTCACACAAATTTTCGATGAATTTCAATCGCAAATAACTTTTTTATTTAATGTCGGATTTAAACGAATAATAAAGAATATTGTAGATAAATTAATGGACAATCGCTCACATTTTAAAAAATTACTAAAAAATAGACGTACGTTTATAATATACAGGTTTAAACAAAAATATGTTTTTTACCATAAGTTTAAGACACTCTGTAGAGTGGCAAAACCGTATATTGTTCTAAATTAAGTTTTATTTATCAAGTCACATCTATTCTTAACAGTTTTGTTTTTGGTTCACCTCGATATATTTATTTTTGTAGAAAATATGGATTTAAAAAAAAACATTCCAATTTCCAATATTTTTCTGTATGAAGAACTAAGGTTGCTATGGTCCATCCATAGGCTATGGAGAATGACAGTGACAGTTTTGTTAAATCATCCCATACTTGGACATGTCATACACGGCTTTCAAAAGCTATCAAACTGTTTTTTGCAAATTAATGTTTAAATTTTGAGGTGTCTTCTTACTTTAAAAAATGGATATGCCTCCGACTGATGTTCCCAGAGCCATTAATTTAATCCAGGATGGACGGTCACAGTATTACGTGGCAAGTGTTTTAAACGTCACAAGAAGTAAAGTACAAAGGGCAACATCAGTCGGAGACATTTTTAAAAGTAAGAAGACACCTCAAAATTAACACATTAATTTACAAAAAACAATTTGATAGCTTTTAAAAGCTATATATGACATGTCCAAGTATGGGATGATTCAACAAAACTGTCACTGTCACTGTCATCCTCCAAAGGCTATGAATGGACCATAGCAACCTTAGTTCTTCATACAGGAAAAATATTGGAAATTGCAATGTTTTTTTAAAAAATCCATATTTTCCACAAAAATAAATATATCAAGGTAAACCAAAAACAAAACTGTTAAGAATAGATGTGACTTAATAATTAAAACTTAATTTAGAACAATATACGGTTTTGCCACTCTACAGAGTGTCTTAAACTTATGGTAAAAAACATATTTTTGTTTAAACCTGTATATTATAAACGTACGTCTATTTTTTAGTAATTTTTTAAAATGTGAGCGATTGTCCATTAATTTATCTACAATATTCTTTAATATTCATTTAAATCCGACATCAAATAAAAAAATTATTTGCGATTGAAATTCATCGAAAATTTGTGTGGATCGATTATTTTGCCTGTGAGTGTATATATTTTAATTTTAAATATTTTCTATTTAGTTTATGGTGAACGCGACATAATATGTACAGTTCCATTAGGGTTAGCCTTTATGGTGCCTTTATTTCATTAAAGGCACGTTTATAAAGGGCCATTGTAGGACCTTTACAAGTGTGTTTGCTGGGAAAAATAATGTTTTATCCACCTACTTTCTGTATTCCGCGTCCAAGGTGGTGCTGCTGTACTGATTCGCCAACTTCATAGCGTTGACTAGTTCCGCCATGTCCTTCGACAACACTTTATGCGCCATTTCGACTTCCCTATGCGCGGTAGTCGGGAATGACGTGATAATTTCGTCTACGCTGGCTAGAAGCGACCTGAGATCGATGCCGACTTTTTTAACCAGGTCCAAGTATCTGTCTGCGTTCGCCTGCTGGACTCCGTGAGATAGCGACATGATGGCTCTGACGACGTCGGTCGTGCATTCGTAGACGCGATCGTGAGTTCGATCCAGGTTGGCTGCAGGTGGCTCTTGGCCCTCCTTTAAACAAACAATGGTTTTTGAAACTATTTTATTTCCGCATTTTATGCAATGGGGTAAAGTAGACAGTTATCGGACACTTTATAGTTATTGGACAATTAACGTTAACTGTTAAAAAAAGAGTTCTATAAATAGTTACCTTAAAGTCAAATCATTAGATGACGCTGTATACAATTATAAATATCTCAGTCGGTAATAATATAGAACTACTTCACTTTGGTGGTAAGAGTTTTGCTTTTTTGTTAAGAGTAGGGCTGTGTTTAAATTACAATAAAAAATATTTCTAAAAAGTGTACAGATCAGTGTGTGGTATAAATGTGTTCCTCATGGTTTAAACATTGTCACTTTAATGCGTTTTAATTTTAATTCTGAAAACAAACAGTAAAATGGCCAGTGTCCAATTACTGGTTGGTAAAAAATGATATAGGAGATATAGTCAATCCCATTTTATATGTAAAATTGATTATATTTTAAAAACTGATATACTTTCATAACTTTTGACGACATTTTCCGATTCAGCGAATAATATTTCATAGGAATTGACTGCTAAATGTCCTGGATAGAAATTGCTGTTGACGAGAATTATTAGTGGCTGCTTTTTCGCTATGTCATTTTTGACCAATTCATTTTTAGAGAGTAAGTAATAAGTGATTTCTTCTTCACAGGACGTCTTGCAGAATAACAATGATTTAAATACAGTGCATGATAGAGAACATAAAAAAGTAAGAAAAAAAATTAAAATCTTTAAAACAACGGCATATATAAATTTTAAATAAATACCTAATATATATAAGTGTCCAATAACTATGTGGTTTACCCTAGCACAACTGATTAAATATATAGTATGGTTAGTAAATTAAACAAGATACAAGTAAAGTAAGTTTTTTTAAAGTTGTTTTTTAACCAATTGGTTAATTCAACTATTGATATTTTTTATATTTAAAACTGAAAAATAAGTTATTTAAAGGGTTATTTTAAATAACCCTTTAAATTTACCAACTGATTGCTATTACCTTAAGGTAAATTGATAACCTTTTAATTTACCTTTTTAGTATAATTTAACTACTAAAACAAACTTATTGGTAATATAATTTACAAGTTAATTATTTATTTTTTTACTGTCAATAATTTTTAAAACTTTAAATAACCTATATTAAAACAGTTAAAAAGTGGGTTATTTTTCATCCATAATTTAGAGTTAAGAAAGTGGTAGTAAATGGTAAAATAAAATTAACAATGCCAAATTTTAACGCATTTTTAAACAAAAGGTAAATTAAGCAAAACTTAAAATTTACTTAACAAAACGTTAATCTAACCAAAATTAAATTCCTCACTTTTTCCAAAACAACGTTGTTAATTTAACCAGTTGTGCTTTCTAGAAATTAATTTCGTAATAGTAAAATCATTAATCTTTAAGGTGAAAAAAAATTATACACACAAGGAAAAAAATGTTTAGAAGTAAAACATTTTCTTGTAATTATTTATTACTAAAGTTAATTCTTAAAAAAGTCCAATTGTCGCATAAATATTGTGGTTTAATACATAATTTAGATAAATGCGATTTTATTTTAAAATTAAATTCAATTTTAAGTGCCAATGTTGACCAACTCTAATAGGTACTTCTCATACCAAAATTAGGCGAAATTTCCTCATTGAACGGAATTCGGAATTTTCGACTTGCACAGTATAATACAGGGTGCACCAAGTATACTGCAAGGTCGGTTAAATTAGACAAAAGTCGCGTAATAACAAGTCTATTTAAAAATCAACGGATCTTAAATAATTTAAAAAAAGTTTTACACATTTATCCACATTTTATCCACATTTTTGTCGCATGCTAGATTTTAAGATACAACCACAATCTTTTGTTTTCCCTATGGCCGCCATATTGGAATTTTACATGGTTAGATAGGACAAAAAAGGAATCCAACTATGTATCAACCTACATAAGTTATGGCGGCCATTTTAAAAACAAAAGATGTTGATAGTAACTTAAAAAATGGACGAAAATGTAGATTAATGTGTATGTTTACATGTAAAACTTACTTTGTTTCAAAATTCCCAGGAATAACAAAGTTATCACAATGTTTGGTTTTGAAAGTTTTTTTCAAATATTTTTTCCAATTTAAAAATGTCACGTTCATAGGATACATAGAAGGTTACTTGGTGCGACCTGTATATTACATTATGTTCTATAGACCCATATATGATTATAAATATATGGAATTATAAACAATTGTAAATTTTTCAAAACCTTACATGAAATATGAAAATGAAGTATCTTTAAAAATCTTAACTTTTAAACCATTTAAAAATTACATTAAATCAACAAAATAACATACAAAATCTGGAGGGTTATTTTATATATAAAAATTTAAAAAAATTCTGACGATTTATTAAGCATTTCAATTATCTAATAATATTGGATATTCTAATATTTTTCTCTGATTATTTCCCTCATTATAATATGAACCAATCAAAAGCCTTGAATTTTCGAATAAATTTCGTTTAAATAAGCGATTAAATCACTAGAACTATTAAACAGCGATTAAATTTTAGCCTCCATATTGGATTTTTGTTTACGATTTTATGGTGTTATTTACAAGTTTTAACAAACATTTTTTAAAAAACAATAAAAAATAAGTTATCTAGTTTACGAAATATCAATTATTACTTATTACATACCTTAAATTAATGGAATTTTCTTTAAAAAAATATTTATAAATTTTGACACATACGTCAGATTTTATGAATTGTCAAATAGATTCCTTTAATTCGAGAAATAATCTAGACGTATATCACTCAACCTATAAATTTAATCTGTCAAACTATGCTCAGTAAGTTTTTATTTGATTTTTCTTATTGGAAAATAGTTTCATGCAAAATATTTAAAAATAAAACCCCTCGACCGCTACGCGGTCTCGTGATTTTATTAAATTATTTTGCATTCAACATTTTCCAAGAAAAACCAAACAAAAAACTACTGAGCCTAGTTTAACCGATTAAATTCATAGTTCTCGTGATATGATATGATAATATAAAATTATTCTGAAGATTTTTTGAAGTAAGACTTTTTTAATTTCTATTTTATTGTAAAAATGTGGAATTTTTGAACCAAAAGTTTTTTAATTTAAATTTTATTGCAATGTGTTTTACGATCACAAAAAAACGTTTTTAACGCGATTCTATTCATAAAATCAGTTTTAAAGTTCAAGAATGCATTTTTGTACGAATATATTGGCTATTTGACAAAATTAAATATTTAAGTTTTGTTGCAAAAATGTCTTTTTAAATCAAAAGTTTTTTTTGTATGAAAATTATAATTTTTAATATAAGAATTTTCAAGTTTTTTTAACCAAGACTTTTAATTTAAATTTTCTCTAAAAAATTTTTTTTTGTCGTCGTTTTTATCACAATTTCACTCATAAAAACGTTTTAGTTTAGCTTGGAATTTTTTTTTTAAATTAATATAACACTCATGGAGACTGCAGAAGGAGTCCGAACTCAATGGGGGAAATTGACAAAACCTACCCACTAAATTGCACAAATTGGAGGAAAAGCATTTGCCTACCTTATTTTTTTCAGTCTCGCATTCCGAACCGCTGTGAGCGGACTCCTGTTTGCCGGTCAAAGTCATGGTGCTCGTGATCGAGCCGCTAGGCGAGTGACTCTTGCTGCTGCACACCGATCCGTGGCTGCTGTGCAGACCGTTGCCCCCCAGAGACACGCTGGCCATGCTGCCGGTGAGCGCGTACGACGCGGAGTTCGAGTAGTTCATCGAGCTCGTAGGACTGGTCGGCAGGGACGTTAGCGATTGCGAGTGCTCTTGAAGGGAATCCGTGTCCGATGGAATGGTGCTCAGTCGATTCTGCGGTTATTAGAGACGGGATTTTAGGTTGCAAAATTTATAAAAAAGTTTTTTCTTGTTTTAGGTGAGAAAATTCTTAAATTAGGTACCGTAAACACGGGTGGATTTGCACCCCTCCGGTGACTTTAACCCTTTTATGAAAAATAAAATTAACATTTATAATTTGTTGGTTGAGTTTATATTACAGGAAAATCAGTGGTTTAAAGAAATAAATGGGATTTATTACACTTTCAAATTGTATATATTGCATCAGTGCAAACCTCTTAGAAATACACGCGTTACAATTTCTATATTATGCGCAATCCTTTGGAATGATGATCCTTGATGAACTACAGGTTGATTTTTATTTTTTTATCGCAAATCTCTTGCAATCGCTATATGTCGCTGCTAACATGTGTCTAATAAAAATAAAATAAAATATTGAGTTAATTTTATACGGAAAATACACTTTGAGACAAAGTTACCCGCAACCAGGGGGTAACTTTGCACACCTTGTTTTTAATTTTAATTTTTGAAACTCAGCCCTATGTAATATTATAACATAGTTATTATGAAAGAGCAACTCAAGACTCAAATTTTGGTATACAATATTTAATGTTTATGATTGTTTGAAAGTGAGCTAAAGCCACCCGTGTTTACGGTACGTACTTTATAAAAATAAGTAATGGACCAGCAAAAAAAAAAAAGGATTTTGAAACTGATTTTAGTTAATGTTGATCCAGCAAACACATAAGTCTGATTATGTAATGTCCCATTACATAGTTTCATGGCTTAATAATGGCATTTTTTCGTCTATTTTTGTATATTATATAGTATAATATAAGATATTTCAGAAATTTGAACTGATAGGCAAAAACTAACCATATTTAAATTCAAGGCATCAAATTTATTATTGTATAAAATTGTATTGATCAATATTTTTATAATATGTATAATACCATCATACATTTTTTAGAATAAAATTGCTGAAAATAAAAAATCACATGCATCGCGATAAAAAAAAATTTAAATACTTCCATGAAAAATCACAAATTTGCTAGAATTTGTAAAAATGCGTGAGAATTTTAAATAAAACATGACATTTTAAAATCAGGCTTAAATAAAATCATTTTCCTAAAATTATGATTAGCATAGACAAATAGGTAATAATACTAAAATCTCTAGTGATTATAAGCACGCTAGAAAAGAACTGCAAACTAGACTAACGACAATTTTGTAAATAGCCTAAAAATTATAGCACCTACAAATGCCAAACTTCCTGAAAAATTGAGCGTCACGCGTAGGGTTTTAAAGTGTCGAAAAAAACCGGAAAAATTGTGGGAAAACTGTTTTTTTTTTCAAGCGGCCATGATATGTTATTTGGAGTAGAAGCTCTTTTTGTGCTTCGTACAGTTGCCTGCCTCAGCTGCGCTTCGGCCGTCAATCTCTGTACTCACCACCAAAAGAGTCACTTCTACTCCTTATGACATAATCTACTATTTTACGTTTTTTTCCCAGGACTTGGAAAAATTGTCTTTTTTGGGAAAAATTGAATTTTTTTGGGGAAATATACACATTTGAAAAAAGTAGCAATGAGCAACTTAACATTATTTTAATTTTAAAAAAATATAAACTTTATTACAAGAACAAAATAAAACATTGAATTAAATTAAACTGATACTGTGGGTTGGGTCTACAAAATACTGAATGATTTATAAAGTTAAATTCAAAAAATATAATTTTATAAATCAAAGTTTGGTTAATACATTTATTCTTACTGAATTAAAATAAAAGGAATAATTATTATAATCATAATATCATAATTATAATCAGTGCCGGAAATGCACTTTTTTCTCGATATCAGTGTGGAAATATTATTCGTAAAAATTTTAAAATTTTTAGAAAAATTGATTTTTGCATTTTTTCATACTACCCTTTGAATAAAATTTCAAAAATGAAAAAGTCAATTTTTCTAAAAAATTTAAAACCAGCCGCAATATATAAGAAGCTCTCTATAGCAATCAATTTTTTTATAAAAAAAACTGTGTACATACCAAATGTGTTTCAGACTCCACCAACCACCGTGAATCTTCCTCGGATTCTCTTTGTTGTTGTTTTAGTCTTTGTTCAAGGACGTTATGATTCAAGTAGGTCGGTTGACCACCAAACCTTTCCAAAAGTTGGTCGCCATATAAGGATTGCTGAGACGATGTTGGCTAAAAAGCAAAAAAAAAACGTAAGTTTTATGTTTATAATGCCTCAAAAAATAATATTATTACAAAAACCATGCGAAAACGTCTCATGCAATAAAACAATATCATACATGGCGAAATATATGTGATAAATTTAACTTTTTTTTTCAGTGTAGATGTACTATTGTGCAAACATCTCTGCTATACTTTTATTAATCCAATCGAGCATAGTTTTGACCTTTTGCTCCTTTTTCGCAATTAAATAACAAAAAACACAAAACAGCCTTGGATATAGCTTAAAATTTGCGCAATATTTTATCCTTCAAGAAAAAGTAAGAATTGTTCATATCTTGTGTATTGGTGTTGATAATTCAGTTTGAATGATAACAAAACCAAGCGATTTTTTCAATTTCGTCAAAAACCAGAAAATTTGCAATCACGTAAAAAATTCTTCGGATGACCTCCCCCTTTTACGCATATTTCGAAGTTTTGGGTGCCCTGAACACAAACAAAAATATTCCAGCTCTGTTGCAATATTTTTTTAATTTTGTAAGACAGTGTTATTGTAGCGGTTAAAAAAAGAAAAAAAATTCAAATGAAAGTAGAAAACGATAAGGTGAATTTCCAAAATTGCGTAATTTTCATATTTCCCACACTAAACTCGCACCAGCAAAGACGTTTACACATCCTTTGAACTAAAATATAAATATGTGACGATAACGTTTCAATTAAAACTTTTAATTTAATTTAAAAGTAAGCACAAACGCATGCCTACATGCTAAAACAATTTACAAGTTAATAAAGTGCATTTATGGAAAAATAAAAAAGACGTTGAAAATCTAGTTAATCAACAAAACAAAAAACACAAAACAGCCTTGGATATAGCTTAAAATTTGCGCAATATTTTATCCTTCAAGAAAAAGTAAGAATTGTTCATATCTTGTGTATTGGTGTTGATAAATCATTTTAAATGATAACAAAACCAAGCGATTTTTTCAATTTCGTCAAAAAACAGAAAATTTGCAATAAGGCAAAAATTCTTTGGCTGACTTTTTCCGCAATTTTCGAAGTTTTGGGTGCCCTGAACACAAAAAAAATATTTCAGCTATGTTGCAATTTTTTTTAATTTTGTGTTATTGCATCAGTTAAAAAAAACGAAAAAAAAAATTAAATGAAAGTAGAAAACGATAAGGTGAATTTCCAAAATTGTAAAATTATCAAAATTGCGTAAATTTTCATATTTTCCACACTAAACTTCCACCAGCCACAACATCATTTGAACTAAAACATGTGAAGATAACGTTTCAATTAAAACTTTTAATTTAATTTAAAAGTAAGCACAAACGCATACCTATATGCTAAAACAATTTACAAGTAAATAAAGTGCATTTATTGGAAAAATAAAATAAACGCTGCAAATCTAGTTAATCAACAAAACAAAAAACACAAAACAGCCTTGGAGATAGATTAAAATTTGCGCAATATTTTATCCTTCAAGAAAAAGAAAGAATTGTTCATATCTTGTGTATTGGTGTTGATAATTTAGTTTGAATGATGACAAAACCAAGCGATTTTTTCAATTTCGTCAAAAAACAGAAAATTTGAAATCACGCAAGAAATTCTTTGGCTGACTTTCAGTTTTTTTGCATTTTTCGAAGTTTTGGGTGCTGCATTTTTTTTTTTTTAATTTTATAAGACAGTGTTGTTGTAGCGGTTAAAAAACGAAAAAAAATTCAAATGAAAGTAAAAAACGACAAGGTGAATTTCGAAAATTGTAAAATTTTCAAAATGCGTAAATTTTCATATTTCCCACACTAAACTCGCACCAGCCAAGACGTTTACTAAAACGTTTACTAAAACATAAATATGTGACGATAACGTTTCAATTAAAACTTTTAATATAATTTAAAAGTAAGCACAAACGCTTGCCTACATGCTAAAACGATTTACAAGTTAATAAAGTGCATTTATGGAAAAATAAAAAAAGACGTTGCACATCTAGTTGATCAAGAAAACACAAAACAGCCTAGGATATCGCTTAAAATTTGCGCAATATATTATCCTTCGAGAAAAAGTAAGAATTGTTCATATCTTGTTTATTGGAGTTGATAAATCAGTTTAAATGATAACAAAACCAAGCGATTTTTTCAATTTCGTCAAAAAACAGAAAATTTGAAATCACGCAAAAAATTCTTTGGCTGACTTCCAGTTTTTTTGCTTTTTTCGAAGTTTTGGGTGCCCTGAACACATACAAAAATATTTCAGCTCTGCAGCATTGTTTTTTAATTTTGTAAGACAGTGTTATTGTAGCGGTTAAAAAACGAAAAAAAATTCAAATGAAAGTAGAAAACGATAAGGTGAATTTCCAAAATTGTTAAATTTTCAAAATTGCGTATATTTTCATATTTCTTACACTAAACTCGCACCAGCCAAGACGTTTGCCAATCCTTTGAACTAAAACATTAATATGTGACGATAACGTTTCAATTAAAACTTTTAATATAATTTAAAAGTAAGCACAAACGCTTGCCTACATGCTAAAACAATTTACAAGTTAATAAAGTGCATTTATGGAAAAATAAAAAAAGACGTTGCACATCTAGTTGATCAAGAAAACACAAAACAGCCTAGGATATCGCTTAAAATTTGCGCAATATATTATCCTTCGAGAAAAAGTAAGAATTGTTCATATCTTGTTTATTGGAGTTGATAAATCAATTTAAATGATAACAAAACCAAGCGATTTTTTCAATTTCGTCAAAAAACAGAAAATTTGAAATCACGCAAAAAATTCTTTGGCTGACTTCCAGTTTTTTTGCTTTTTTCGAAGTTTTGGGTGCCCTGAACATATACAAAAATATTTCAGCTCTGCCGCATTTTTTTTTAAATTTTGTAAGACAGTGTTATTGTAGCGGTTAAAAAACGAAAAAAAAATCAAATAAAAGTAGAAAACGATAAGGTGAATTCTCAAAACTGTAAAATTTTCAAAATTGCGTATATTTTCATATTTCCCACACTAAACTCGCACCAGCCAAGACGTTTACATTTAATTTAAAAGTAAGCACAAACGCTTGCCTACATGCTAAAACGATTTACAAGTTAATAAAGTGCATTTATGGAAAAATAAAAAAGACGTTGCAAATCCAGTTAATCAAGAAAACAAAAAACACAAAACTGCCTTGGATATAGCTTAAAATTTGCGCAATATTTTATCCTTCAAGAAAAAGTAAGAATTGTTCATGTGTTGTGTGTTGGTGTTGATAATTCAGTTTGAATGATAACAAAACCAAGAAATTTTTTCAAAAAACAGAAAATTTTTAATCACGCAAAAAATTCTTCGGCTGATCTCCCCTTTTTCGCATTTTTCGAAGTTTTGGATGCCCTGAACACAAACAAAAATATTCCAGCTTTGTTGATTTTTTTTTAATTTTGTAAGACAGTGTTATTGCAGCGGTTAAAAATCGAAAAAAAATCAAATAAAAGTAGAAAACGATAAGGTGAATTTTCAAAATTGCGTAAATTTTCATATTTCCCACACTAAACTCGCACCAGCCAAGACGTTTAAACATCTTTTGAACTAAAACATCAATATGTGACGATAACGTTTTAATTAAAACTTTTAATTTCATTTAAAAGTGAGCACAAACATGCCTACATACTAAAACAATTTACAAGTTAATAAAGTGCATTTATGAAAAAATAAAAAAGATGTTGCAAATCTAGTTAATCAAGAAAACAAAAAACACAAAACTTGGATATCGCTTAAAATTGTCGCAATATTTTATCCTTCAAGAAAAAGTAAGAATTGTTCATATCTTGTGTATTGGTGTTGATAATTCAGTTTGAATGATGACAAAACCAAGCAATTTTTTCAATTTCGTCAAAAAACAGAAAATTTGAAATCACGCAAAAAATTCTTTGGCTGACTTCCAGTTTTTTTGCCTTTTTCGAAGTTTTGGGTGCCCTGAACACATACAAAAATATTTCAGCTCTGCCGCATTTTTTTAAAATTTTGTAAGACAGTGTTATTGTAGCGGTTAAAAAACGAAAAAAAATTCAAATGAAATTAGAAAACGATAAGGTGAATTTCCAAAATTGTAAAATTTTCAAAATTGCGTAATTTTCATATTTCCCACTCTAAACTCGCACCAGCCAAGACGTTTACACATCCTTTGAACTAAAACATAAATATGTGAGGATAAAGTTTCAATTAAAACTTTTAATTTAATTTAAAAGTAAGCACAAACGCATGCCTACATGCTAAAACGATTTACAAGTTAATAAAGTGCATTTATGGAAAAATAAACAAGACGTTGCAAATCTAGTTAATCAAGAAAACAAAAAACACAAAACAGCCTTGGATATCGCTTAAAATTGTCGCAATATTTTATCCTTCAAGAAAAAGTAAGAATTGTTCTTATCTTGTATATTGGTGTTGCTAAATAAGTTTAAATGATAACAAAACCAAGCGATTTTTTCAATTTCGTCAAAAAACAGAAAATTTGAAATCACGCAAAAAATTCTTTGGCTGACTTCCAGGGTGCCCTGTACACATACAAAAATATTTCAGCTCTGCAGCATTTTTTTAAATTTTGTAAGACAGTGTTATTGTAGCGGTTAAAAAACGAAAAAAAATTCAAATGAAAGTAGAAAACGATAAGGTGAATTTCCAAAATTGTAAAATTTTCAAAATTGCGTAATTTTCATATTTCCCACACTAAACTCGCACCAGCAAAGACGTTTACACATCCTTTGAACTAAAACATTAATATGTGACGATAACGTTTCAATTAAAACGTTTAATTTAATTTAAAAGTAAGCACAAACGCATGCTTACATGCTAAAACAATTTACAAGTTAATTAAGTGCATTTATGGAAAAATAAAAAAAGACGTTGCACATCTAGTTGATCAAGAAAACACAAAACAGCCTAGGATATCGCTTAAAATTTGCGCAATATATTATCCTTCGAGAAAAAGTAAGAATTGTTCATATCTTGTTTATTGGAGTTGATAAATCAATTTAAATGATAACAAAACCAAGCGATTTTTTCAATTTCGTCAAAAAACAGAAAATTTGAAATCACGCAAAAAATTCTTTGGCTGACTTCCAGTTTTTTTGCTTTTTTCGAAGTTTTGGGTGCCCTGAACACATACAAACATATTTCAGCTCTGCCGCATTTTTTTAAATTTTGTAAGACAGTGTTATTGTAGCGGTTAAAAAACGAAAAAAAATTCAAATGAAAGTAGAAAACGATAAGGTGAATTTCCAAAATTGTAAAATTTTTAAATTTGGGTATATTTTCATATTTCCTACACTAAAATCGCACCAGTAAAGACGTTTACCAATCCTTTAAACTAAAACATTAATATGTGACGATAACGTTTCAATTAAAACGTTTAATTTAATTTAAAAGTAAGCACAAACGCATGCCTACATGCCAAAACAATATACAAGTTAATAAAGTGCATTTATGGAAAAATAAAAAAAACGTTGCAAATCTATGCAGTTAATCAACAAAAACAGAAAACACAATTCGATATCAAGCCATGCCTGACTCGAACCTGCAGCCGCTGCTCTTGACTGAACTTATTATCGACAATCTGTTTCTGCGCGCAGTAGAACGGCTGCTTGTGCGCGCAGCTCTTAACGTCTGCGCCGCCGAAATCGTAAATGCTCTCCTCCTTTTGCGTATCAAAGTGATAGAGCACCGGATCGGGATGGTACGCGGGAATGGGTTCAAGGTGCTGGGCTACATTGCGCTCCAACGAGCCCATTTTCGAGGAGAATGCCGCCGTGTGGCTGTTTTGCCGCTCCAGAGAGCCCATGCGCGGGGAGGAGTTACGCGAGGAGGATTTCCTCTCGAGAGAGTTCATTTTTGGGCTGAACACGCCGGATTTGTCCAGGCTGCTCGCCGAGCTGTGGATTTTACGCTCGAGGGAGCCCATTTTGGGCGTCGCGGCGCCGTTGCTGCACCGCGACGGCGTTCTCTCGAGCGTTCCCGGTTTTCTCACGGCATCGGCATTCTCCGGGACTTCGGGGTCGAGCTTGCGCAACGCGGGCATGGGAATGGGGCAGGTTCTGAGGGAGGGCTCCTCCCGATCGGGCTTTCTCTCGAATTCTACGGATACCGTGTTAAATACCGAGGCGGGTGTTATGTAGGCGGCCGCGGTCAGGCCTCTGGTTTCGTTCTCCTTCATCAGGCGGGCTAGGACTTCCGGGTTCTGGGCTACGATGTACGTCTGCGGGTTCGGGTTCGCGTCCAGCGACATGAGGGATGTCGAATCGACGGCTAAAATTGAAAACCGCGTTTTAACAACCATAACAGTTTTCAGGGCTCCCACGGCTAAATTACAAATTTTATTTGGGGAATTTCAAACTAGGCCAAAGTCAAATGATGTTATATTTAAATTTTCATTAAAAAAATGTTAACCGTTTAGTTAATAACTAACAATAATTGTAATGTGGATCATGATACTCAAAAATCTCATAATAGAAAAAATATGAAGTTTGCACAATACAGCAAAAAAATTCTTTAGATTGTTTACTATTTTAGCTATCATTTAAATGAAAATTGAAAATCCTTTTGTTTGATATACAGGGTGATTCACCTAGCTTATTCATTAGAAGTTTATAGAGAACGGAAAAAGATATCAATTTGAAATTTGTATAGCAATTAGAAGGCAACCTAAACTAAAGTGATATAAACTTTGGTTTTTTAAATGGAACCATATAAATATTATTTCATTTTTAAATTCTACTTAAAATTCTAAAAATACTACAATTTGATTATTTTTTTTATTTTTAACAGTTTTTGAGATACTTAAATTTTTTCCTGAATGTTGCGATTTTTTTACAGTTTTTGTTATATCTCTGTAAATATTCATTTTAGGTATAGGGAATGCTGCAGCATTTCAGTGGAAAACATTATTTTGTGTCGAATGATGTGAAAATTGTATGGTAGTTTGTTTGAAATAAGAAAGTTATTGGTATTTAAAGTGACAAAAAAGTCAACGTAAATACCAGACACCCTGTATACAAATTTTAAATAATATTAATGGCTTTTGATAGAGTGCTCCTTAGTTAAAAGGTACACCATAAATTAACTTTTTAACAAAATTTTTGAAAAAAAATTAAATATCTCAAAAACTTAAAAATAAAAAAAATAATCATATATAATATAATATTTTTGTCAAAAACAAACGATATGGCTAAAAATGGATTTTGTTGTTTTTTAAGAAAAATGAATGTTGTGATACCTATATCATTTTAAAAAGAATTAAAAAAAAACTAGAACCTAAAAATGTATTTTTTTTAAATTACTTTAAAAAAAATAATATTTAGCACGACAACTACTTTAATTAAACGCAGTCAGGTTGGACTATTTATATTTAATTTTTAGAAGTTTTAGGAGATTGATGGCAATTTTGAGTTTTTAAGATTTAAGCCAACATATGACAATTTTATGAGTTTTAGGAGGTGTGGGAACCCTGAGTTTTGAAAAATATTCTACAAAATTATTTATATTGAATACATATACACTGCCTGAACAAAATTTTGCCGCATATTTCTGAGACCAAAATAATGCTACTTCCATACAAAAGTTGATAATATCCAAAATACAGGGTGTCAAAGTTAAAAGTTCGTTTTCAATTTTATTAAATAATTTTTTTTTAAATTAGAGGTTTTCAGACCGAAAAAATTAAATTAAAATTAAAAAAAAATAATGTAGGTTGTAGTGTGCATTCACGTTTTTAATAAAAATATTATTTTTTTTATCTTTATTCCGTGAAAAGGGTATACTTTATAAATATCGCTGCAAAAAAAATGTATCAGTGCTCCCATTTAGTTGTGATTTAAAAATGTAATTTTTAAAGATTAAAAAAATACATTAGGAGAAACTATAAATTTAGTAACTGTCCAACTGCGTCATTGTTTTTGAAAATTTTATGTTTTTAATAATTTTTGTACAAATTAATAACAATGTAAACGTACATGTCCCGAAAACAGAAAACTTGGAGCGACATTTACAAGGTGTACCTTTTTGCGTAATAAAGATGAAAAAGTAATATTTTAATGTATGCAAATTGTCGGAGGCAGCGCAAAAACGTTATTTTTTCCAAATTTATTTAATAAAATCGAAAACGAACTTATCAGCTTTTGTTTAGAAGTAAATTTAGTTATATCCCTGGAAACATATGTCTGATTATGTAATGGCCCATTACATAGTTTTATAGCTTAATAATGGCATTTTTAGCCAAAGCTTTCCTTGTACTGGGATTTTACAGGAATAAAATATTAATTTTGATAAAAGACTGTCGTGATAAGGTCTTGCAATGGCCCTTTTCAGTTTTCAATTTTTATAGTTTTAATAGTGTTAAATGAGTAAGTAGGTGCATTTTTAATTTAACAAATTTTAGAACTCCTATTACAGACAAAATACCGCCAAAGAATTTAGTAGAAGGTCAAAATTGGGGTAATTGTGAATAAAAGATATAAATAATGGCAAAGAAAACCTGTTTTTTTTCTTACAAAAAAATCAAGTGAACTTATTTGTAAATATATATTTTAATTTTAAATATTTTCTTTTTAGTTTAAGGATTTTTTTATTTATTTAAATATTATGGATTCCATTTATTACCTACTAAACAGTTTTTAAAATATAATTTTTATGTTTTACTTATACAAAATATTGCTTTGTATTTTGGTAATGTAAATTTATGAATGTTTTAGTATTACATTTCACGATAATATATTAATTAATGTAATGCACATGTAAAGTATTTATTATGGTGGATTGAAAAATAGTGTGTTTATATTTATTGGGTCGGATATTCCACGACAAATTTTTATCCCGACCGACAGAAATTGTATTTTGACAGTATCCATACAGTCACAATACAATTTCTGATTATCGTGGAATATTCTTATCTAATAAATATATACCTACCACATTTAATTCACCATAATAGACACTTTACTTATTATAATATGTACAGTTCCTTTAGAATTAGCCTTTATAGGGCCTTTAGTTCATTAAAGGCACGTTTATAAAGGGCCATTATAAAACCTTTACGGTTGTGTTTGCTGGGATCGCATTATTCCGGCCTTAGGAATATGTGGTATAATTTTGTACAGGCATTTTAGGGACATTTTTATATTTACATAATAGAAAAACTTAGAAAGAATAACTTACTACCTTGCATTGGATATCTGTTTGGTTTTGGAGGAGGAGGAGCAAAATCATCGTTTGGCCCCCAAGACATGGCAGCCGCCCTCCTCGTCTCCCTCCGCAAAGTATCTTGCTGCACGCTTTTCTCCTCCATCAAAATTTCCCTGTAATGTAAGCATTAAAACGCCGAATTTCAACATTAACATCGATTAACTCACTGTAATATTTCTTTAATATCTTTAAAAGTAGGCCTTTTGCTGGGCTCATACGACCAACACTGCGACATTAACGAGTACAATCTTGGAGGACAATTTGGGGGAAGAGCGAGTCGTTCTCCGTTTTCAATTTTACTAGCTACGTCGTTATTTTTTACTCCTTGGAATGGCTTTACACCTAACATTAGTATTTCCCACATGCATACACCTTGAAGGTAATAAAAATAAAGTTACAAATATGAAAATATATAGTTTATCTTATATTTTATTTTGTAAAACATGCTTTAATTTAAACAAAATATATAACTTAAAATACGATCTAAACACCATAAGAATCAGTTTTTTGTACTGTAAAATTAAAATTTCATTATAATCCAAAATCCTAAAAAGCATGAAAAAATATTTTAAAAGGAAAGGCATTAAAACTTATTTTACTACTCAAACCTTAACATGTATTAGAAATCAGCCAAACAGCGACTTTTAATTTTTTTATTACGATTTAGCATTTGCTAATATTAAATTAAAAAAATTACCTAAAATATTTAAATTGTTATAAAATTAATATTTTAAATATGAAATATGAATATAATTTACAAAATTTGTAAGCTTTAAGTATATAATTTATCATGTTAAAATTTAAAATACATATTTCAATTCATGCTGCTCACATAATTTATGTAGGGAGTCTTACAAGCGCTAGGAGCAAAAATTACAGTAAATATAAATATTGACACGCGTTGTTGTTTTAAGTGCCATTTTATTATTTTTTATTTTATTTCATTAAAATTTTAACACAATAAATAAGATTGATCAAGCTACACAATTTTGTAAATTAAAATCGGACAAATATTGTCGTGCTACAGCACTACAGCACAAATTTTAAAAGTTATCAAATTTTAGCTAAGAACGATTTTATTTTGTTAAAACATGATTTTTAAAGGGAAAATACTACTAAATGTGTATAAATAATATATTTTTTAGTTAAATTGGGCCCACAGCTACATTACGGTCAAAGTATTTGTCAAAAAACACTTTTTTCCTAAATATCGCAAACACAAGATGGAAATTTTACCCTAGAAAAGCTATTGGCGACCTGAGGCATACAAAAAATTTAATTTTGGTGATCAATAATTACTTTAAGTAGTGAGTGTTGACAAAAATAAAGTTTATTTTATAGAACTCTTAAAGATAAAATATTGATTTCATAACATAATATTGGGTAATTTTTTTACCATCCCTTATTTAATTTTAAAATTATCATAAAAATGTTTTATTGTTCTAAAAAGCGTTTTTAACAAAACTCTATTCATAAAATCACTTTTGTAGTTCAAAAATGCATTTATGAGAGAAGATAACGACTATTTTACAAATTTATAGAATAAAATTGGTCTAATATATTGACTAGGGACTGTACTATGTTAATAAAAAATATCTTCACATCTAAACTATTAAAAAACATAAAAAAACGGTTACAAATCTATTTCAGTTAAATACTTTGTACTATAAAAACGGGAGAATCTAATTTGGAAAAACTAATACACAAAACTTAACATTTAATCTATTAATCTAATTCAACATACCAATAATCCATTTATTTTAATAAATTGTTCTGTACCCTATTTATTATATTATATAATTTTTTAATTAATTTGTTGTTTTTTTTTATATTATATTGTATATTAAGGCTTTCTGCTATTTGTCAGTTGTCCCTAACATTTCTTATTAAAAAAAAATAAAAATAGATAGCTAATGTAGAACTAGATTCATAAATAAGAACTTAAAATACCAAAAATTAATATCAATTAAATATAAAAAATGTCCCCATCAGATTGCAATAGTGAACACTTGGATATATTTCATTGGTTTTGTATGAAACAGAATTTTAAAACTAAAATAAAATAAGAAATAATTAGCTCCTCAATACTAATAAAGAAATTGATAAAATGTCTGTGTATAATTTTTTAAGCGTGACCAAACCTTGTCCTTATATTTAGTGTCTACTTCGTCACAAACCGCCTAAATAAAAACAGCTTTGTTATAAAATACACTGGAGTTTAGCATTACATATAAAGCAACTCTGTAGTTTATAACTGTGACACGAGATGTTATTTTGCGAGTTACAAACAAGCAGCGTGTGTTTTCGTCACGGTATTTGCAGTATTTATTTTCTTTTTCATGTAAAGTAAACCAATTTCTTTCTTTAAATTCATGCAAAGTTTTATGTGCATTTATTGTGTCACTTGGAAAATAGATTTTTTTATTGCATTTGTCAGATGTTTTTTTGTCACACTGCACTGCTATCGCTACGACATTAAAACTTAAAAATAAGAGACTCTATAAAAAAAACGTTACTGCTAAGAGTAACATTAAAATTACCTTTAGTTTGTCTAAACAATAGTCACAATGGATATAAAAATGTGAAAATATAAACATACAAAACATTAAAACTCACCAAACATCCACACATCACTGGCAGTGGTAAAACGTCTAAAATTAATGCTCTCCGGACTCATCCACTTGATGGGCAACTTGCCCTTGGAAGCCTTGTAGTAACTTTGATCGTCGCCCATCCAGCGCGAAAGCCCGAAATCGGCCAACTTGACCACCTTATCACTGCTAACCAGCACGTTTCTGGCTGCGATGTCTCTATGCACGTACTTCTTGGATTCTAGGTAACTCAGAGCGGTCGAGAGCTGGAATGCGTAGAGCAGGAGGGAGGCCAGGTCCAAGCGGTGCTTGTTGTTTTGCAAGTAGGCGCGCAGTTCGCCCAGCTTGGCCAACTCCATCACTATCCACACTGGAGAGTCGGAGCACACGCCTATCAACTTTATTATGTGGTTGTGGTCGAATTTTTGCATTATATCTGAAGAGGAAAATGAAAAATTGTGTTTGTGAAAATAATTTGGGCCTTTCCATCTCAAATCGTACAGGCAAAAAGGGGTAGGACGTTATTTTTCAACGATTTTTTTCCACCGAAATCGATGAGACCCGTATTTTTTCTTTTTGCTTAAATTTGTTTTGTTCTCCCGTAGAAAATTTTTGAAAAATGGACAGATGGGGCATTTCACGTTACTCGGGTATTTTTGTCCCGCCCGTCACAATTAAAAATTGTGAGTAAAAACCGCAAGTTATTTAAAGCATAATAAAACAATATTTTAAAATAAATTTTATAACGTGTAGTTTTTACTCAAAATTTTTAATTGTGACGGGCGGGACAAAAATTCCCGTTTAACGTGGAATGACCCAGATCTTTATTAACTCAATTTTTTTTAAATAGTTTTTTTCTAAAAAAGGCCACAAAAAAATTAAGGTCGAAATTTTGACATTGCCAGATTTTTTTTCTTCATATTTTTTTCGTTTGAAGTTGATAATATGAACAACTTTGCTGTACCATCCAAACTATAAGTGATACAGAAAAAATATTTCTTAACAAATTTGTAGGGCACAAAATTCCCTACAAAATTGTCATTTACGTTTTTTATCTACAATCAACAGTTTAGTCTCCAAATACGATTTACTACTATTTTAGAAGATTTTCTAGAAAAACGGCAATTTGTGAAGAACATATTTAACTTACAGACTTGCTTAAATAGACTTTTTTGAAGATAATTTCATCTTGTATAAATATTTTAGCGGAATGAGAAAAGAATAGTCTTTAAAGGGAAATATTTAAAAATTGAATAGCAACGGCTTAAAATAAAGATTAAGAGCTTTGTAATAGCTCAAAATTTTTGTTTTCTGACCGGTTACAAGATTTTCAGGTGGGACTTTGAAAAAAAAAATGTTTCTCTAAAATGAAGCACCCTAATACATACAATGTCATTTGTCAATTTTTGACAGGTCAAGTCATATTTGTATATCTAGATTTTCTTGAATTGGCTTTTCTGCTTCTGTTGGGCCAAGTAGTCTGGAAAAATACAATTTTATTCTTTTTTTGCAATGCTGGTTTAGGTTTCAGAAATCAATAAGTGTTAAATTTGGACGAAAAAATCAAATCAAACCAAATCTAGCACCCAACCTAACCGTCCTATTGAAGACGAGTTACACCTAAGCCGTCATCGGCACCAGTTGCACCATGCAACTATAGTTGCAAGGGAAAAAATTCGGGTCATATATGACCCACTCACCAAAATCACACAAATATCCGATATGAAGTTTGAGAAAAGAGTCGTCATGAATAATAATTTAAATAAAATTAATCGGAAACATTGATGGGTACCAATAAAAAATCATCTGTTTAATTATACATAATGAATAAAAAAAATAGCATAAGTAAATGTAAGGTTTTTTATATAAACATATAAACTTGATTTTTTGCACACTATGTATAACATATAAATGAACAAATCATTTGTATAATTTAATAATTCGTTTACTTTTACTTTTTCCCTGACATTACTAGTTCAATCAAAATTTTAATCAAGGTTGAAAACTAAAACTAATTCAATTGATTATTTCAAATTTTTACACGACTAAAGCTAACTCAATCGTCAATCGTTAGTTAAACTAATTACTTTAGTTTTAGTTTTAAATCGTAAATCAAACTAAATCTCTTCATAGTAAAATAAACTGTTAATATTCACTTACCAGCAAAACAAACTAACGAACTGTCAAATCTGATACTTCTTTTAAACACACAAAGGTTTCAAAGCCCTCCTAATTTATTTACTACAGTGCACAGTGTGACTGAGCCAAAAAAATCGACCACTTTTTTTGGTAAATTATATCGAAAATATTGTTTGGAGCGAAAAAAAAATATGGTGAAAGTTTGAGTCCATAATATTAATATTAAGAGGTCTATCATCTTGAATTTTTTTTCCTCAGCAAGTTTTTGTATCAGAACTCCCAAACCATTGAGTTTAACAAAATTGAATGTTCTACAAAAAATGTTTATTGGAATTTCCCGTCAGAAGAACCGTTTTCTTACAATCATGCCTTAAAAATTGGTATAGTTTTACAATTTGATCTTTTAACTTTGGAATTTTGTAATCATGTAAAAATCAGTACCCGGAAAAAACCGATAGATATTCTTATGGGAAATCAAATGCTCTACAAAAAAGTCTAGTAACATTTTTGGCTAAATTCACTCCATCAAAAGTTATTCAAGGTTAAATTTGAAGTCAAAACGTTTTTCCGCTCTAGATTTTTTTTGGGTCAGTTAAAAACTTGAATTCTTTTATAGATGATAATCTTTATGGTATTGATAAAATAACTGAAAATTAAAAAAAAAAAATTTATTAGAGTTTTTTCGCTTTAAGAAGCTATTTTCTTTAGAAAATAATATTTTCACTGTTACCTATTTAATCGTTTAAATAATATCATGTTGTTTTTTTTATTGGAAATTATTAATTAGTTATATAATACTTATTTATATAGAAAAAAATAAAATTATCACCCATAAAAAAATAAACCTACAGAGGAAAAAACAAGAATTTCATTTTGACTTCAACTTTAACCTTGAATAACTCTTGATTGAGTGAATTTAGCCAAAAATGTTAAGAGGCTTTTTTTGGAAAGTTCTGAGACAAAAACTTGCTGGGGAAAAAAATTTAAAACCTCCTTATATTAATATTATGGACTCAAACTTTCACAATAATTTTTTTTTGCCACCACAAACCATATTTTCGATATACTTTTCAAAAAAATATACTTGATTTTTTGTGCATACTTTAAAACCTTATGAACATTCGAATTTAATTAAGAGTTTAAAAGCGATATTTTTAAAAAATGCATAAATATAAATATAAAAAAATGGTTTTGGCATAAAGTATGGTTTTTAAATTTTTAAAATCTCCTAAAAACCAGCATTCCAAAAAAAGAATAAAATTGTATTTTTTCCTACTTGGCCCAACATGAAGCAGAAAAGCCAATTCAAGGACCTCTAGATATACAAATAAAATACGGGTGTCATCGATTTTGGTAGAAAAACTGTAAAAAAAATTTCGTTGAAAAATAAAGACCTATCCCTTTTTGCCTGGTCGATTTGCATTTTTTGATTACTTACATGCTTCTTCCAAAAACTTCTCCGTTCGCGCATGATCAGAGTCGCCCTTAAGGGTTTTCACAGCCACTGGCAACTGACTATCCTTAACTTTATAAATACCCTTATGGACGTCCCCGAATTGGCCTTCGCCCAAAATCTCGCCCAATTCTATCATGTTCCTGTTTAATTCGTAGTTTTTAACTAAAAAAATAATAATTATTATCTTAATAAAAGCATAAACAATGTATTTACCTGCTGGGATAGAATAATCCCCCTCTTCCACAATTTCAGCATAGTCCTCTGAAAGCATAGTTCCCGTGTGATTAGAAAAGCCGTCTTTATGACTGTTCAACTTAATTTTGGAAGAATTTAAATCTGCAAAAGGAAAACACAATTAAAACCGATAACTCAACGCTGAATTCACACTATTTGCATTTGGTACTTACCTTTACAAGGACATGGAAATTGTTTCCAGATTGTAGCTTGCAAACACAAAAATACTTATCAAAAGAACAATTTTTATAGCTACTTTGTGTCAGGCTTTTTTAGGAATGAACAACAAATTTACGTTTGATGATATTATAGTATAAATATTTGAGTAATTTATATCTATTCCATCAAATATAATTTGTTTAATTAATGCAACCAAATGTTTATGTCATTGTTAAATATGTATTAAATTAAATTAAATAAACAATAGGTTGAAGGTTTTATAAATATATTAAATGAATTTATTTTAAAACATTAATTAATTTATTCATTTATTTCATTTCAAGTTGACCAATTTTTGATAAATTATAATCTATTCAAGAGATAATATAAATACTTATTTCATCAAATAGTTAGGCACAATCTATATAATTTTAAATATTATAAATAGTATATTATTATACAAGAGATAATGCGCAAAAGTGTAAAACTTATTTACTATTACGCTAAAGAAGCATCGGGTTTTCGCAACGCGCGCGCCATCTGGTGGAGTTCGATAGCATTGTGTGAATTCAAGAATTGTCAAAAATACATTTAAAGCATACGAACTGTGCATCATTTTTAAATAAATAGGTAGTTTTTTCACAAAAGAGAGGAAGGCAGAAGTCTTACTAGATAAATTTTGTTCAGTTGCACAGCTAAATCGCGCACGTTATTTGTGTTTCGCGTTGCAAGTAAAAACTGCAAAACTTTGGTTTAGTACTCGATTTCGATTTATTATTCCTTATATCATTGATTAAGAAACTCAACGATTATATGCTTATACGTTAGTGTGTGTATTTTATTTAAGTGATCATGATGAATTATTGTGTTTTTAATTGTAAATAAAATTCAAGAACTAAATCGTTGCATTTTCATGTTTTGCCAAAGGATCCAATTCGGTACGTATATTTGTTGGTGCAGAATTAACTAATGATAACTTTACCTAATAAAATTTATATTTAAGTTTGGACATTTTTAAGAAATCTAAAAAAAATAATTATTGTACAAACATAACCTTAAAATCAAACAATTTTATATTTCAGTCCTCTAAAAAACGCCGACAACTGCATTTTAAAATAGTAAACGACAAAATATATCTACGAAATCGTGGCAACATAATATTATATATATTTAATTGTTTCGACCTCTACTTGACGAAACTCCATATTATTATTATTATGTAGATATAAAAACAACTATGTTTTTTGAAAGTTTCACGTGATTTATTTAATTTTTTTTTTGAGGAATAAATTTTCAAAAAAAAAATTAAATAAATCACGTGAAACTTTTCAAAAACATAGTTGTTTTTATATTCACATAATAATAATATTATATATGTTACGGCTAAAGTGTAAACAGCTATTATATAAACTAGCCGGATAATGGACGAGTGCGTCAAAAGGTCTTATGACATGAGTTCTTTATGCTATATTATCTATTTTGCAAAAATTCTTTAAAAAAATTAATTTTATACCTTATATTTAATTTGGTCAAATTTTACTTTAGATAGTTGGTATCACAGTCATTGGTTTGAAGGGTTAATGTCAAAATCGATTCACCATGGCGTCCTTAATTTACTTATTTACAATAAGCGGCTGTTAATGTTAAAGAAGAAAAAAGGATTTTCTTTGGTGTTAAACAAAATTTATTAAATCATAAATATAATTTACTAGTATGCTGTTTAAAGTAGCCAACCTATAAAATCAAAATTTAGGGTGGGGTAAAGTACCTCATTACAGCACCGAAAGCGGTGTTACAATGAAGTCATAATGAACGCAAAATAGATAAAAACGTATTTTCAACTGCATTAGCGGCTAGTTTACAAAATAACCAAGGATCTTAGCTAATTTACTTGAAATTATTAGGGAAACTAAAATGGCTGGATAGTTTGTATACTGTCCAATTCAGTTTGGCTGATATAAAAACAAAAAATTCTAGTAACATAGAATAGCCAATGCTTTAGGTAGTTTGTAAATTAACCAACCAATTTTCTTAAAATGCAAGTAAAGGATTTTATTTGTGTCCAATTGGACATAATGGACACACGTCACGTTGTGCTACCTGGGTAAAAAAATAAAATTTAACCAAAACACAACCTCACTTTTTTAATAAATTAGCAAATTTATTAAAAAGGTAAGGTTGGGTTGGGTTAAATTTTATTTTTTTTATTAATAAAGAATTAGAACCCTTTAATCATGGCCGTCTGGCTTATTATAATGGTAAGTTTACAAGAGACAATAGAAAAATTAATGTAATTTATTTCATTATAATTGATATTGTTTTTAAAAACTAAAATATATAAATACAAACCAAACCAATAAAAAAATCAGTTATTAATAAATTAGCCAGAATATTTGTTGGTTGGTTTGCAAACATGTAAACTTTCTAAAGATTGGCTATTTTGTGTTTGTGCTAGAAATTTTGGTTTTCATATTAGCCAAATTGAGTTGGATAGTTTACAAATTATCCAGCTATTTTATTTTTCTAAATAATTTCAAGTAAATTAGCCAAGACCTTTGGTTGGTTTACAAACTAGCCGCTAAATAAGTTTAAAATACGTTTTTAATTAAAATAGCTGACAGTTTGGTTAATTTATAAACTACCCAGCTAGTTTATAAACTATCCAAATTTGCACATTAGCCGTAATATAATACATAATATAATACCGGTTTTTGTTTTTTTACCGTTGAGTGGAGACTTTTTCAATCAACGCTTTTAATAATGCATAATGCTGTTTAAATTTAGAAGACATATATGTTTTATTATTCTTATTGAATTGAAATTATTACAATTTTCACGTAAATCGTTACTAAAATGTGTATTTGAGGAGCATCCGTGCAAAACCGGCTATATCCACTTTAATAAAATGTTGGGAAAATGTCAAAAACTCTCGGTTTCCTGGCCTTTACAGATAAAAGAAAAAGCAAACTTGAGTTTTGTGGGCTTTTTGGTACTTGATTTATAAGACACACTTTCGTTTTTAAAAACTTTATATTAAGGCCAAAATTTCAAAAAATGTTTTGGGTATAGCCGGTTTTGCTCGAAAACCGAATAAAAAACGAATAAAATGTGAAAAAAAACCTTTATTATTTAAAAATATTAACAAAATAAATTTAGTGCAAACATGAAAAAACAGAACAAATTTTAGTAGTAGTATCGATATATCCAAGCCACATATTATTATTTATTGGATATTGCCGGGTTTGCTATAAAAACGTGGATTTGGCCGGTTTTGCTCCAAAAGCTACCTTCAAAACACTCGTTTGTAACATACGTGTTTTACAGCTAATTATTAAAAGTTGTAGTTTTGTTACGTGGTGGCGCTACTAGCGATGCTTCTTTAGCGTATTTTTTTCGTTTGTTTTTTTAATGCAGATTTACAATTTGGGTCATATCTCGAGTTGCTACGAAGGCGTAGAAGGGCCAACAAAAATTTTATAAGTTTTAGCCAAAACTAACTTTGATTTTTGCAATTTCTATTTTATAATTGTAACTTGAACTTACAATTGTAACTTGAACTTACAATTGTAGGATAAACCTAAAGGTAAGTTTATTGTTTCTTGTCTCTATAGTATAACCAATTTAGTGTTTTTAATAGGTAGCTATGGAACAATATTTCAAAATGGGGCTTCAGCAAAAAGAAACAATAATTTAAATTATTTAATATTATTATTATTAGCCCAATAACCTTAAAACGGCTTTTGTGCAGACCAGGGCTGCGATTAACGAAATTCATAATCGATTATTGATTATCTAAAATTATCGATTTTTTCGATTAATCGATAATATTATTAGTTAAAAAAAATGCGTTTGACAATTATAAGTTGGCGGAGCAAAGAAATGTTCATGCAATTTAGATAAATAATATTAAAAAACATACCTACTTAGTTATGTTTTTTATTATTATTTATATATATAAACTATATCCTATTTTATTTATATTATAAAAAATACGTTTTAAAAGCACACAACACGACAATAATTGTTGAAGAACTAAATAACTTAATTCATTCAGTCTCTGGTCTTTCGTGGACAGACAGTACATTCTTTATTTAAATAATAATAATTATTATTAGAGATGGGAAAATTCCCATTTGACGAAAATTCCCGGAAACTTTCCATCGGAAATTCAAAAAATTTCAAAAAAAAAATTTTTATTGCGAAAATATTTTTTTTATGCCAGGGATTTGCAAAAATATATAACACATTAACTTTTTGTCAAACTTTTAACGACATAGATTTTCTTACAGAACTTGCTTTGAGCATGGTCTTTTTTGTTTTTTGCACTATTTTGTAATAATTCCAAACACTAGATTTTTCTCTTGGCATTGTGCTATGCTTATAAATAAACAACAAAAATGTAAGAATGATTTTAACTTTGTTTATTGTATTTATTTTGTTTACCTTTTTTTAAAAAAAGTTTTTTGTGTTGATGCTCAATAATCCGGCTTCATTGAGGTTATGTAACATAACTTACATTATTTATACTTCTTCTTCTGCTTTAAATTAACACAAATTAAATTCTTATTCAAAGTTTCTTGGCCTTGTATCATGGCCTTAACGAAAATCAGCGGTTAAACAATGACATTTAAATGGAAAAAACAAGGAAAGTTTCCAAGGAATGTTTCCGGTAGCTTAAAAGAAACTTTCAAAATGAAAATAAATTCCCAATTGGAAACTTTCCAAAACGGAAAGTTTCCTTAAAATGGAAACTTTCCGATTCCCATCTCTAATTATTATTATAATAATAAAATAATGAATTAATCGATTATTAAAAAAAATAATCGACGGTTTGATAATTATAATCGATTAATAATCGATTATTTTGCCCACCCCTACTGCAGAATCGATTTTGTAAGAAGGAAATTTAGTCATTTAGAGAATGTTTATGCTTTTATTCTGTTTCTTATCACTACTGCCCAGGTTACAATTGTAACTTGAACTTACAATTGTAACTTGAACCTACAATTGTAAGTTCAACTTACAATTATAGAATAGAAATTGCAAAAATCAAAGTTAGCTTTGGCTAAAACTTGTAAAATTTTTGTTGGCCCTTCTACGCCTTCGTAAGTTGCGATGGGCTTTAATATTGAAATAAAAATATGTTTTTGCCAAAGAGGATTAAAAAGTTTTTGTCGTTGATATAATAATTACCGAGATTAACTAATTGGATAATAAAATGAATAAATGGCAAAAAATTATAAATACCTTTTCTATTCCATATGGAGGCCCCGGTGCTGGAATGCAGCCTGCAGTACCCGTCGATGAGATCCGCCAAACTCTCTGCCACGTCCAGATTCGGGCACGTGAAAAACAGAACCTCCTGCTTTCCCGCCACCTTCAGCTGCAGCGTGGCCTTGGCGTGCTCGTCGCAGTCGTTGACTAGAGTTTGGATCGCCTGTATCTGATCGAACTCGGCTATGTTCGTCGACGTGGACAGCCCGACGTTCAAGTGCGATATCCCTATCTCCGGGCCGATGACCAGCTCCACGGGAACGGTAAAACTGCTGCCGAAGTCCACGCGAAACCTCTCCTGGTCGAAATTCGTGTGCAATTTGAGGATCTCCAGGAACTTGAACATGCACTCCACGTCCGTCATGTGGGAGAACTTCTTGAAGTGCGATTGTATGCTCTTTCGTAAGGATTTCGACTTCATTTTGTCCAGAACGCTGTTGGGCACGAACTTCTGCATGCCCACTTCGCGTTCCAGATACTCGAAGCTGGATTTTTTGTCGAGGATGTTTTGGGGGGAGTCCTTGAAATATTTGCGGATCTCCAAACAGCACAACTGCACGGCCACTTCCTGTTCCACTTTCTTGTGAAGTTCTGTGTAATAGTCGTGTTTCACCTAAAATAATTTTCATTCTTGTTTATTGTTAATTTATAAAAGCTGAAAAATATATTCTCATAATAATTATTATTATTATAGTATTAATAATATGTATGGGTAATTTTTTTATATTAATACTATTAATATAAAAAAATTATTATATATAAAAATATTAATTTAATAGCTACAAGGGCCTATTTACAAGTCCATTAAAATGGCATTTAAAAATTGGAAAAAAAATGCGGTTCTAACATAATTTAAAATAAAACGAAAACCTTCGTTATTAATGAGAATTAAAAAAAAATAAGTTTCACATGTAAACATACACATTTATCTACATTATTATCCAATTTGTGATTTTTTCGCCTACTAGATTTTGAGATGCCACCACCATCTTTTGTTTTTCCTATGGGGTATTTCCATGAAACCTTACCCCACCTTGACAAAAAATCAGATGTGTTATTTAACAAAATAACAACTATATCTGAAGTAAAATAGTTTAATTGCGACGTAATTTATAACCTTAAAATATTCCTACATTGTGATGCTAAGAAGTTAAAATTAAAAATAAATATGGAAGACTTTCAATACTCGATAAAATGTTTAAATGTCGCACCCGTTACATTATGAGAAAATATTAGAAAATAGGTATATTTTAGAAATAAATATATATATACAATATATGCAATTTTTGTGCATTTAAAATACGTGCTTGTTTAATGTTACTATTCAAATTTTACAAAAAAAATAATTACTATATGCTTTCATCCAAAATTTTACAATTACAAATCGATAATACTGCGCTCTCATTGGCGACTTTAAAGGTTAAATAACTATAACAAATTTCAGAATTCAAAAAAATTGTTAAGGGTCGCCAATTTTGGAACACCCTGTATAAAACATGTTTATTGTTGCTTTTGCTAAATGACTAACAATAAGTAAATTGTTGTTTTGAATTATTATTATATTATAGTTTTTAAAACGAGTTGCATACTATACTTTATCTACTACGAACAAAAAGAAAAATTTAAAGCCAATTTTATTTGTTAAATATTTGACATATGTGAACGGATTTAACTTCACTTTTCCCAAATTTGCAATAAAGGTAACGTCAGCCCGTGATTAAAATGCCCAAAAGCCACTATTGCTAACTTCAGCCCGTGACTAAAACGAGATAAAGTCACAGCTCGTCAATCTAGGAGTAGATAATAGTATATTATGTATCAAGTTTGATAAACGCCATAGAAAAGTTTATAAACGAGGTGCATACTATACTTTTTCTACGACAAATACTTATTATTATCTTAAAATGATTTAAATCAAAAATTTGTATAGAGCGCCATCTATGAAACAACAGGGGAAACTGTCAAATGTCACATTTTTACATTTTATAAAAACAATTATAAAGGTTATAAATCGAAATGTATCTTGAAAATTGACAGTTTTTCACAGTGAAAGTAAAGGAAATGTTTTTTGAGGACTTTGCAGTAGAGTCCGTGCCCGAATTTAAGTTAAAGTTTACTGCCGGCGAAATTAAAAGGTCAGTACAATGTTCATATAAACTTTTCAAATATTGGCGTTGAGAAACTATTTAATATTTTTGTATTTTTGTATTGAGAAAATAAAAAAATTTTCACATTTAGTATTATTTTACAAGAAAGGCACTTTATTTTTACGATTGTATAACATTTGACAACTGTCAACTAACTTAAAACTAACTTCAGCCCGTGACTTAAACCCTGTTGCTAACTTCAGCCCGTGACTAAAGCGCCGTAAAGCCACAACTTGTCAATGTGTATTTAAAAGGTCACTTAGTGTCATGGAAACATGTACGATAAAGAGCGTTTTAAAGGTAGTAGTAGAAAAAATATGTTATATTTTAGAAAAAAAATATTTTCAATGCTTGATAAATATTATTACCAGGTACATATAATAAAAAATACTAGAATAACGCTTGCTAATGAAAATATATATTTCAATTGCAAGTTTAAGGTAGGTATTTTTATTTTCTTAATTAAATTTTCTTAATAAAATTGGTATGCTTTTATATATTTACCATGTTGCCTACCTTTACATTCAAACTTTAAGAGCCTTAAATACCTTTCTTTATAATTAACAACCTAGGAAGAAATTAAGACAGCAATAAAATCTTGTATATTTAAAATCCAGTAAACACTAAATAATAACTGTTGCATATTCAACTACTATGTATTTATTTATAGAACTTATCAGCATATAAAATGGTAATTTAGTCGTGTCTACAGTATTAAAAATAAATACATTTCACTTTTTATCGGAGAATTAGATCGTTTATCTCATACAGCTGCACACATTTCTTCCTATTTCGAATTATGACCTTGTCAATGTAAATTATTTATTTGTTTATTTATTAAGTTATTTATTTATTCAATATATTACAGCTTTGTGTTTACATGGTCTCCAATCGTTTAAATTAATCAACACTATTGTTAAGATTACGTTTATTTAAATGTGCCCTACCTATATCTCAACAAAAAAATTGGCATCTAATTACAAAAAAAAATAATAGCAAATAAAATTAGAAAGAGGCCTGTATAATAAATTATTTTTTTAATTAATAATTCGTTAATTTAAGCGGAAACTTAACAGATATTTTATTTGTGTGAAATATTAATTAATTAAAAATTACCAGCCCTGATTTAAAGAAGTTAATTGCCTTTCCAAAGGGCTTTATACTTTCCTGCAGTTTCGTTCTAATTACCTTTTAAAGGAAAGAAAGAAAAAAATCTTTTCCAGGAAAAAAGTTGGTATAATTAAATAATTGCGGAAATTATGTAGAATTATAAATTTTCCCTGATTCATGGCTTAAGAGGTAATTAAAGCAATAATTAACAACTAAAACTTTAAAAGATAATTACCTGGTCATAATAGTAATGGAAAGTAACTTTATCCTTGTCGTAAAGTTCCTTCAAACTTTTAGGCAGATATCTTATTCTCAAGTCGTACCTCCATTCTGAATTTGGATGTTTTTTCAAATACTTCTCGTGGACTTGTTGCATTGTTGTGTCTTGATGCAACCAATGAACCTAAAAATAAAAACACTGACAAATTCTGATACAACAGTTATGGCTAATAAAAATGTTATGCACTGATAAGTTGCTTGCTAGGTAGATATCAAACGCTTTATAGTTTCTCCATAAATCATTACGTTTTGTATTCAAACAACATTATTCATTTTTAAAAGTCGTTAAATGTTAAGGCATTGTAAATAGAATTAAAGCTTATGGTTACCACTTCTTAGTGTCAAATTTGGTTAATTTCAAGTTTAAATTAGTTTTTTATTGATTAAAATCTAGATTGCCATGAAAATAATACATTATATTAAAATAAATTGTAAAATTAAAAAAAAAAACAATTAAACATTTAAGGATGATTGGTTAAATTAATTCAGAAGAATATTTTGAAATGCGGTTACCATTGGATTAAACTTTTGGGCTGAATTTTTGTAAACATTTTTTTACTATTACTAGTCGTTCATATTGGGGGTGCAATGAGTTTCATTTAATAAACAACGATTTTAAATTTTAAAAAAATGCAACCAATCGAATATTTGTAAATGTTGTAATCAAAAAATATTCCTATAACTACTTTTTAAATTGATCACCACAACTTTTAATTAAAATCCTATTTTCCGCTCATTAATCAAACATCAAAGCAACAAAGGCGTACCTACTATCATGGAATAAAAAAGCAGAGATAAAATAAAGCAGGCCGATGATAAATAGACCAATCCCCATTGACCTATGAGTATCGGGCTTTTGCAAAAGTGTGTGGGCAAAAGGTTGTTGATCTGACGGGCGAACAATCGTGTGGTAGATAGCGTTTGTTTGGCTTTAAATGCACAATTGGATTCGCAGTTTAACAGGAAATCAGTAATTGAGCTATCGAGGTCTATTTTTAAATGCACGATAACCGAACATGCGTTTTAGGTTTAAAATAGACTAAAAATGACAAAAAGTCATACATTAAAACTATTTTGGTATTAAATTTGTTGAGGTATCTTTTGACAGTTTTTCAAATTAATAAACAATTTAAAAAAATATATTCATGTTGGTCACTTTTCTGGACAACCCAGTGAACAAGGAAACATCTGGGACTTTTAAATAATAAATTTCGTAAAAGTCAGGAAAAATACAGTAGTTTTTCTGGACGATTTGTTTAAATAAGGAAAATTTCTAGTTTTTTAATAGTTCTTCAACCACAATCTTACCAGGATCTCATAAGTGCTTACCCAATAAACATTTTTGTTTTTATAGTGATTGCCACAAATCTTATATTAGCCTAATTATAAAACCCAAATTTCTTAATTTGGTTACAGAAATATTTATATCACTCTTGGGAGGGATATAATTGTAACCCCTTAAAGCTTATGAAGAACCCAAGTTTTATTACTTTAGAGAACTGTTACCGGTTTTTCTTTTTTTTTTAATATGTGTATATCTCATTTGCTTACATAAAACAAAGTTAATTTTTGTACGCTGATTTGCCCAGGCCTCTTATATTTCTTATGGTAATTTAAACTAAGGTATAAGTTAAGTTTTATATTTGTATCTAGGTTACTTAAAGTGTTGATATATCATGTTTAAACTCTTGTATAAACTGTAGTAACTATCGTTACTACAAGTGATGTTATAAAACTTTTGATAAGCAACCATCTAACCGCTCAAAACTAATTCTAACGCAATGAAATTATTTTTTTCCACTAAATATTATAAACGATTTAATTTACTTTTAAAATATTTATGTAAATATATTTATAAATACTAAATATTATCTTTTTAACCAATTTTTAATTAAAATGATGAAAAAGCGTTGCGTCGAAAGCTGATACTAAGTTTTTTTAATGACTTAAGATTTTTATTTTATACAGGGTGTCCCACAATTAGTGCGACAAAATGAAGGTGTATTATCTACAGACCCCCAGGAATTCCAGAAAATTGTTTAAAAAATTCTTCCTTCATTATTTAAAAAGAAACAGGGGAGTCATATTAGCAACATTGCCTCAAAAAAGGGGATAGTTTAATTCTTAATCATCATGTTAACATTGTTGTTTGTTGTCATGATGATTAAAAACTATTACTTTGTTATGAGGCAATGTTGCCATACAAAGAAAACATGACTCCCCTGTATCTTTTTAAATAATGAAGGAAAAATTTTTTAAACAATTTTCTGGAATTCCTGGGGGTGTGTAGATAATACACCTTCATTTTGTCGCACTAATTGTGGGACACCCTGTATAAAATATTTGTATAGATAATTATATAACCTAATTAAAAACCTAGAGGTTACAGTAACCCCTAATTACCACTATAAAACTCGTAAACTAAATTGCGATATTATAAAACCTTGTTATACTTTGGAAACCTTTATAAAACCCTGTTACTTTCACAACCTTTATATAACTTATCGTTACCTTAAGTAGTAAAAATTGTTTATTTGATATAATTACTGATTATTATGAAAACAAATGACAAAAGTTAAAAATTTGACTGGTACCTTTCCTTTTTTTTCTGTGATTTTTTTATCTTTATTTAGAATAATTTTTGTAATTAAATAACAAAATAACTTAAATAGAGATTATTGGTTACTTACCTCGTTTGATGGAGGTCTGGACAATCGCATCGCATAAAGGCCCTTGTAGTCTCTCTCCCCAGTAGACAGTCTTTCAGTAACTGTGGATATAATACCCTTAATATCAATGGTTCCTCCATATCGAACCACATTGAAGCCGCCATTCGGAGAATGAACCTAAAAATAATAATTAACACACTTAAAACTTTATAATTGTCAGCATTCACTAAAAATAATTTAGACCAATCGGTTAAAGTTTTGTAAAAAATATATTTAAGCCAATCGAAATTTTGATCTACCTAACCTTACTTTCTACATTTAATAATTAATATTGCAATTGTTATATGCATCGTTTAATGATATAATAATATATTATTATACGAGAGATAATGCGCATAATCTATAATACTAAACTTTATAAACTCCAATAAGTAGATAATTAAATGATTTTCAAAAATAAATTACTAAAATCTGGCATCTGTCAAATGTTAAACCCACACCAATTTTAAATGGTATTATAGTCGCCTTCTCTTAATATAAAACCTGATTGGTTCAAATCACTGTGATTATTGAAATCGGCCAATCACTAATGCCTAACACCGTGAATAATGAGTTTATTATTATTCCCGTTGTTAGGCAGGGAATTTTTAATGTTCATCATTATTAACGGAGAAAACCCAATATTATGCAATAGAAGTAGTTAAATAACCATTATTATGATAATTGTAAAATTATAAAACATTTAAAAGTAATAATTATTACGTTTAAAAAACTTAATTAAACATTTCTAATTTTGGTATTAGTATGTCAAATAAGTAATATAACAATACAACAACGAAAGGGAGTGTAAAATTAAAATAAAATCCAAACAATAGACAAGACAACTGGCAATTAGCCGTTCCTTTAAGTGATGTAAATGTAATTAATACAAATCGTGATAAATAAAAGCCTCGAGTACAAATTAAACATGTGTAAATAAAGCGAGATTAATGTAACCGATCATCGATAAAGTATATTAAAATTAATAACTGTTGTGATTTAAAAGTAATTGTATGTATATGTTTGCACATTTGTTTATGTGCGTATAATGTTTAGATTTAACGGACAATTAACAAGATATTCAATTAAATATCCTTTTAATGGAATAACTTATTTTTGTCAGTTAACGTAAGAATATACAAGGTATGCACTTTATCAAATTGAGTGACGCGATTGAAGCGTTAAAGTGGGACAATCAGGGTTTATAGTGGTTTAGTAATTGGCTTATATCTTCAACAAGTAGGTATTAACCGATTTAAAAAAATATATAAATCACATTTTTTAGGTTTATATATTTAAAACACATAACCTTAAAATTTTATCAAAAAATAAATATCGATTTTTCCTCAAAAGATAATATTTTGATATTTTTTCCATAATTTTAAGAATAAAGATTCCCACAGCCTAGAATTGAATGAAAGAAGAAGACAAGGGAGAAAAAAATGGGAGGAAACACCTTCTATTTTTTCAAATGTATTTCAAAATAAGCTATGGAGGTCAAAGGTCAAATTGTGGCCTTGTTATGACACTTTTATAATATTTTGTTTATTTGTTTTGGTTAATTAACTCAAATGAGCTTCAATTACACCAAAAAAGGAATACATGCACCAATACCGTTAAGTGCAGTATACGCTAAAGAAGCATCGGGTTTTCGCAACGCGCGCCATCTGATGGTGTTCGATAGCATTGTGTAAATTCACAAATTGTCAACAATACATTTAAAGCATACAAACTGCACATCATTTTTAAATAAATAAATAGTTTTTTCACAAAAGAGAAAAAGGCAGAAGTCTTACTCTACAAATTGTATTCAATTGCACAGCTAAATCGCGCACGTTATTTGTGTTTTACGTTGCAAGAAAAAAACTAAAAAACTGGTTTAGTACTCGATTTCGATTGATTATTCTTTATATCATTAATTATATCATTAATTAAGAAACTCAACGCTTAAATGCTTATATAGTTACGTTAGTGTGTGTATTTTATCTAAGTGATCATGATGAATTAATGTGTTTTTAATTGTAAATGTAATAATGTATAATTCAAGAACTAAATCGTTGCATTTTCATGTTTTGCCAAAGGATTAACTAATGATAACTTTACCTAATATAATTTATATTTAAGTTTGGACATTTTTAAGAAATCTAACAAAAAATAATTGTTGTACAAACATAACCTTAAAATCAAATATTTTTATATTTGAGTCCTCTAAAAAAACTGCATTTTAAACGACAAAATATACGAACTCATGGCAACATAATATTATATATAATAAATAATATAATACCAGTTCTTGGTATTTTACTGTTGAGTGGAAACATTCTTAATCAACGCTTTTAATAATGCTAAATGGTGTTTGAATTTAGACGACTTATTTGATTTGATTAATTTTACCTTAACGGTGGCCTTGTCAGCGGTGGCAGGGCTGTTCTGGGGTGACTTTTTAGGGCTGTCCATGTTGCCTCTGTTTTGGGCACACCTTATAGGTGAGCCCTGGTTCACGGCGGGTGTTGGGGAAACATCACTGTAAAAAGAAAAAAAAATAATAAAAATATACTACAAACTACAAAAAATCAACAACCTCCACGAGCAAAAATCAAAATGATGATGGTGGGCAAAACAACTCGTCATAACTAATTGTTTTTAACTGTCTTATGTAGCACGAACAAATAAAAGTGCTAATAATATTTTCCTGGCATCTCAAGGAAATCCAACCGTTTGTTTACATTATCTATTATACGATTTTTCTTAAATAATCTACTTCGTGTTTGTGTATAATATCGCACATGTGTTGCAGAGTGAACTTGACAGTAGCAGTTCATTTCGATTAGTTGGCAGAGGGTCAAAAAGACGATTCCTAAATTACACGAATTCTAATTATATTCCGATTCATTGCGAATTATTCTGGCGACCATTTCACTAAGGCTATTACGTAAACGAACAAAAACATCGGAAATAACATGGTAAGTTGGGGTAGGTATTAGGAATTTAATTAACCACCGAAGCCATTAGCTGTATAGCATTTCGGTTGGAGGTGGTTTCATGCGTATACATGAATTTATATGTGTTCATTAATTTACATTCTAAAGGGTGCAAAAGCACGTCATTGTGTGATAAAAATGGATATTTATAAGCTGTAACCACGCAATAATAATTTTGCAAAAAAAAGTCTCGTTGGGATAGGCACATTTTTAAACTAAATAATTAAAAAGGAATTCAATTAATTTGCAAATATGGCGAATGCGCCGGGATAAAAATAAGATTAATAATTAATTAACATTATTACATAATTATTACATACAAATACAATTTTAATATAAATTATTTTTGTTTATTATGATTATTCCTCACTTTTAGTTTAACAAAATTGATATAAAAATGAGATTTGTTAACATGAGTTTGAAGTTTGTTAATTTTAATTTGTAAAATTTGTAGAAAACCAGGGTTTGTAATAATTATAATAATAGTTCAAATCAAAGATAATATCTTTCTCCAGAAAAGTGCTTTATTAAAACCAAAACTAAAATTATAATGTTTTTTTAGTAAAAAGTATTATTTTTTGAAATTTTTGTGTCGTTTTTTTAATTACTTATTAAATTAAAAAGGCAAGAAAGTAAATGGGTTTCGGTATAAACATTACACTTCGACTATTATTTGATATTTTTTTATTCACATTATGCCTAAAGTACCCAAAAATTCAATCTCCAATCTTATTTATTAACTCTTATCAATATTTAATATCGAATTAGCACATTAGCACATTAAAGTGCATCTATTAATTATTGACATTTAAAATTTAAACTTTAAATTGTATTTTTACTTGAAAGTGATTTTAATAACCAAAAATAAAAAAAGAGCAGGAAATGGAAGTGGTAATGGAAGTAGCAGAGAAAGATAAAGGAGACGAACATTTATGTCGTTGTTGTAAATTTGTTTTGTTTTTGTTGCGGTACCTTTACGCCCAAGAAAAACCAACGCAATATTTCATTACAAAATTTTATGAGATATACCTACTACCTTAATTTTGCAGGAATATTAAATGGACCTGATATACGACGTTTAATGAAAGATCAAGCATTCAAAAATGCTCTCAAAGTTAACGAGCGTGGCAGTGTTCTTGGTTCATATCGGGCTTAAAATTGGCGCCAATTCATTGAAAAAACTCCGTTTTGTAAAGAATTAGCGTTAATATGTCATTTAAAATACATTTTATTTTTTTTCATCCTGATAAATTTGCCGAACTGATGAACATGGAGAACGATTTTAAGCAGTAACTGCAAATCTAGAGCATTGATAGATATCTATGGGTATAGCGGAAAGAAGTTGGATTCATTGCTAGGAGACAGTTGCTGGAATTTGCAGCAAAAGATGTACGACGATGATGAGGATTAAGCACAATAATACTATAATTCAATTGGATATTTGATCCGATTTAATAAATTTAAGGTAAAAAAATGTAAAATTATGTAATGCATTAAATTTTATGGGCTTAATTTGGATAAAAAATACCAAAACTTGTTTACTTTGTTGCCCTTTCAATACAATAATTAAAATAAACGACAAAAAATGTCAAATAATGTTTTTTTTTTATAAAATACACTAAAATCTTAGTTTTAGAATTTAAAATGTCATATTGTTAAGTTAAATATGATCTTTTTGCCGTATACCAATTACTTCAGTACATTCAAGATAAATTTAAGCCAAAATAATTTAATAAATAATCAAAATACTAACAAAAAAACTTACATTTTGAGGGGATTGAGCAGAACATTTTATTACGAAATTATTTTAAATCCTAAACGTCCTAGAGAAAAACGAATGTTGGAAAAAAAAGTTTCCAAAAGTATCATAGTGTAATTATTAATGTATCTGACATTTATTTCCTTACGTATTTCGATCAATCACAAATATTAATTTAAGGTCATACTAATTTTTTTTCAAAATCCGTTCAGTCGTTAAAAACTGTAAAAAATGGCGAATGCGCCGGGATAAATTACAATAATTAATAATTACACAGGTATACAAGGTTTTGTACACAGGCAACTTAAAGGTGATTTTAGGGTGATAACATGCGCTGATCACGAATCTGCTATCCGTTTTTCTGGATCAGGTCAAGTTTTTTAAATATACGATAAAGGTATTTTTTGTTATTTTATTAGAAAATTGACTACATTTTAAAGTGAAGTGCAGTAGAACTCCGTTTTTTATAATTGTATGGGTTTGTTTCACGTATAAGTGACCAACAATAAGCGCTTAACATCCCCTCGTCCCAAAAACCTTGGTAGTTTTTTCAATTTTCTGCAAATCTTGATGTAAGCGCTCTCCTTGCTCGTCACTAACATCGCCTAGGTTCTCCGGGAAAAAATCCAGATGGGAATCCAAAAAATGAATTTTAAGTGACATGCGAACACCCATTTTAAAATAATTGTCCAAAAGATCCGCTACAATTGCCTTGTAGTCTTTACTTTTTCTGTTTCCAAGGAAATTACGAACGACGCTCTTAAATGAGGCCCATGCTGCTGCTTCAGTAGGAGATAAACATTTGGTGAAGTTGTCATCATTAATCAATTTTCTTATATCTGGTCCGACAAAATTCCTTCTTTGATTTTCGCGTAAGAAATTTTGGGGAACTGTTTAATAAGATATTGAAATCCAGGCCCTTCACGCTCAAGTGTCTTTACAAAGTTTTTAAAAATGCCGAGCTTAATGTGCAACGGTGGAAGAAACACACGTTTAGGATCAACTAAGGATGTAGCAGAAACGCTATGTTGTCCTGGTGTATATTGATCCCGAATCGGCCAAACTTTTGGTCTGTAATGTTTATCAGTGGCGCGACTATCCCACAAACAAAGAAAACAGCAGTATTTTGTGAAGCCGGACTGCATACCAGTTAACAAGCCAATCACCTGAATTAAAATTTATTTTTAACATATTATTATTAACAAAAAATGTATTACCTACCTTGAAATCGCCACAAATTTTCCAGTTGTGTTTTTTGTATTGAATGTGTTTCAAAATTTCATTTACCGTTTCGTAGCTTTCCTTGGCGTTTACCGCATGAGCAATTGGTATGGACAGTTTATTATTGCCATTGTGTACAAGAGCGGCTTTAAGACTGTATTTTGAGCCGTCGATAAAGAGACGCCACTCATCACAATCATATGATTGTTTCATTGCGTCGAACAAACCCGCCACATTATTGCAAAAACGCATATTATTTGTTTTTAAGAAAAATGGCAAAAGCGAATTATTTCGGGTTCTGTACATGGTAACCTTCGTTTTATTGTCAAGAAATTGCCATTGCTGCAAGCGTGATGCTAGCAATTCTGCTTTTTGTTTAGATAATTGCAAGTCTCGTACCAAATCACTTAGCTCAGCTTGCAAAATTAAATGATTTTCGTCAAACTCAAACTCGCTGGCACTACTCATCATATTGTCATCAGACTCTTCCATGCTTATATGCGTTGTGGGTAAAACAGGTAAAGGGTCATTTTCGTGACGAGGAACTGGCTTTGATACTGATAAAACTTCTGGATATTTCAGGCTTTTTAAATTTTTTGAATTTATACCCATAACGTTCGTTAAGCAAAAATAGCAATCATCTACGTGGTTCTGTTGTTCTCTCCAAATCATTGGCGTTGAAAATGGAAGATATATGTTATGACCCTTTGACCATCGGTACAGCTTGGATCGACACATGTTGCAACATAATTTAGGCACCCACGACTTTTCTGTATCACTAACAGTAAATCCAAAGTAGTGAAAATACGCGTTTTTTAGCGATTCTGTCATTTTATTGCCTTTTTTTCGGACAATGTACACGCCACAAACGTAACAAAAATATTCAGGATCGACTTTGCAATGCTTACTTGACATTTTTGTAAATTTATTTGCAACCAATACAAAAACAATGCTATAGCAATTAACTGTAAGTACGTCGAACTTCTAATATAAGATATCTTGGAAATTTTACCTGACCACGTGAAACGGGCGACGCATTCGAGTTCAGCGCAAAAAAATATGTAAAAAACCGTTGTTGGTTTTTCGTGTACAAAAGTTGACCCATATTTGTAAACCTGTGTTATTTATAACTGTATTTTGGAGTGTCCCGACTAAGTTACACTTTATAAAAAGTTCTGCTGATATTGGAGCATTAAAATTTAAAATATCAAGTAAGGGAGGACATAGTTTATTTTTTCATTATAAATTTTATTACTTAATTATTGCTATTTTAAATTTTAATAGCCTAAAATCTCAAAAAAACTATAAAACCTAATTTATTTTTACTAAATAGGAGCATTATTTTTTTCTTATTTTATTATTACTATTAAATTTAGTATTTTATACATATTTTTCCAATCCAAGATACTGATAGTGATAATAAACATTTGAAATTTTTTGTTGATTACAGGCATGACCCATTGTCAATAGGCCATTAATAGTTATTTACGTGTCAAGCTTTGTAAATGAATCTTTACGGGCGAGCTGGGAGTTTGTGGGGTGAGCGATGCAGGAGCGAACCCC